CGGCGCCCGGCCTAGCGTGTGGCCGGCCCTCCACGTTGTGCGCTGGGACTGTGTATTACAGGGGCTTATGACAAAGTCTAGGGAGAAAAGAAGGTAAGAAGTTTGACATTGTCCATTTACAATATACATTTTATTTTTACAAGCGTTGGACCCTTAAATCTTATAAATTGAGTTCCATTGTTTCACAAGCACCATTTTCCATCTATCTGATGAAAGTCTCCAGTCATCTAGAACTTCATTAATAATTTATTCATAAAATACAAAATTTTCATGAAGTTTTCAGCCCTGCAGAGCGTGCACGTGAGGCTCCCAGAGAACCAGACCGGACAGTGGCCACCTAGACCGCAGGCACAGGCACACACGGAGCCAAGCCTGGCCAACGTGGTGGAGGAGGGCATGGCTGTGAGGGGTGGACTGGCCCCTGCTGGACAGCGAGAGCCTCTCAGCTGGCGCACTCCTGAGGTGAGGACAGCAGCCGAAGGCCCAGCAGGGGAGTCCTGAGCCCAGAGGCCCTTGGCCATGACCCTTGGCCATGAGGAGTTGGCTCTTCTGTTAGGATGTCTCACACTGGACCCAGCCCCTTGAGGAGGGGCGCTGAGGGCCGGGGCGTGTCAGCCGCATCTGCTGGATGCGAGGCTCACACAGCTCCTTCAGCACAAACAACAGGCAACTTCCAGATGGGGCGAAGATGCCGACCCAGGGCGCTGGGCTCCATCACTACCTCTGGACCGGGGCTTTCAGAGCAACCTCTGGGCCAACAACTCCCTTGGAGGAGAAAAAAAGAACTGATGTTAAAAATTATCTGCTACAGAGAGCACAACCGGATCTGTTTCCTAAAACGTGGATCCCAGTCCATCCAACAGTGCGATGGCCTCGCATTTGGGGACAGCCAACAGTGACAGTCACGATGTCAGCAGCTAACACTTTACCAAGGACAGACTTTCTCACACTAGGAGGAGAAAAGGACAAAGAAATAGCCAGCAGAAGCGGCAGTCACTGAAAACTGCTGACAGCATACAGCAGATGCTCAGCCTCTCCGGGCAGGGCCAGTCAGCCTGCGGGGAAGACAGCTCACTCTGCTGCCTCGTGCCCTGTGTGTGAGGGGGCTCACCTGAGTGGGTCCAGGTTTGGCCCCTCCAGGCCCAGGCTTGACCGGTGGCATTGGGGGTGCTGAGGTCGGCTTGATGACCTGCAAGGAGGCAGACACAGCTGATGGTGGATGCCACCTAACCGGTCCAGGCCATGCCAGGGCACCATTTTCCCCAGCACCTTCCAGCAAAGCTCCCCAGGTGCTGTAACCGCAGGCCCTCCAGGACCAGAGCAGCTGACCCCATCTTATCAACAGAGTAATTAAGAGCTCTCTTTCAGGAACTGAGACCCCTTGTCCAGTTCAGGCCAGTTGAGACCACCAACCCATCAACTGGGCCTGTGCAAATGCTCGATAAGTGACCTTTTTGAGGTCAAGAAGCTAAAAACTCCACTCTCAGATCATGGTAAGGCCGCCATTTTGTGAACATGCGTCCTGTGAAGACCCATGAAGTCTGACTACGCTTGGGTCAGTTACCTCACTTCTCCTCACCTCCAATCATCTGTCTCCACATTTCAGACCACTTCATCCTGTAAATGCTGCCCCAAGCCCTGGATCGGGGAGACAGATCTGAGAGCAAATGCCCCCCCGTCTCCCTGCAGATGGATCTTGCAAAATAAAGCTGATTTCTTTTCCCAGCTTTTCCCAAAAGCTGATGCAGTAACTAATTGGCTTTTTTTATGCACATCAGGCAAGAGAACCCCAGTTTCATGCAGTAACAGTGCTCTGCTCTGCTCCAGACCGTCCTGCAGGCTTCTCTTTGCTGAGCTCTCTACAGAAAAGTCCCCCTAACAACCCCCCAAACACACACCCACGGCTGCCACCGAGGGCAGAATGAAACCCAAATGTGGCCAAGCCCCCATTCCCGGGATCAGCCCCAACCTATCTCACTGCCTCTCTCTCCTCAGAGCCCCCCCACATTACCCATGAAAAGCTCTTAAAGCCAGAATGTGGGTCTCTGGAAGTTCAAAAGCCAGGCAAGGCATGCATTAGTAAAATTTGCATTTGTTTGCATCTCAGCTTTCCTGGGATGGAGCCAGGTGCTTGCCTGGCCGCAGGTCCCCGCACCCTGGGACGCCTGGGTGGGGCAGCACTTGTAGTTTTAAGAACCTCAGAAGGATCCTTCTGAGCAGCGGGGGACTCGGTGCCGGCACAATTCCCTTGTAGCCTTTGCCTGGCTATCACCACGTCCTTGGCCAGAAATCTCCCTGCCTGCCCTGCGTTTGCCCTGTCAAAACCCCTCCTAAGATTATTTTTGCAACTTTTATATTTAGTTCAAAATAAAAAGTGCAAAAAGAAAGACAGAGAGAATCTCTAGTAAGCAAACACCACAGTAATGGTTGTTGCAGGCAAGAAGCCCCGACGGATGCAGATACTGTGGGTCATAGTTCAAGGAGTAATCAGATTCACATCTCCAAGTCCCTCAAAGAGATTAACTACAAAGGGAAGATGGGGACTTGACAGCAGAGAAACGGGCAGACACCACCCCAAGCGATGAGTCAACATCCCTGGTGACAGACGGGAGCCCCACAGGATGCCAGGAGGGGGCCGACCAGTTCCACTGCCCCATGCTGCCAGGCCCCTTCCAGTCGCCCCCAGTTTTCCAGAAGCAGCTGGGCCAGCAGCCTGCTGGGAGATAAGCGTGTCTGTCCAGGGCCGGGGGCTGTGTGCAGGACCCTCAGCAGGGCCCACGGGGCTCCCGGTGCTGGAGGAGACCCACCAGGGCCAGACCTCAGGATTGGCTGGAAGGGACTCCCAGGCGAGCCCAAAGGTGGGGAGCCCTGCTGGGGAACGAGACCCCCACTGCAGGAGGCGCCTGCAAATTGAGCTGCGACTCAACAAGTCTCCAGTGACTCACATTTGAGAGAGATCTTTCCAGAATCCTAAAGCCTCACACCAAGGCAGGTGCTGCAGTGGAGCCCCCTCAGCCCCTGAGCCCCTCAGCCCCATAAGCCCCCCTCATCTTGTGGGGTTCAGGTTGTGGGATTGGCCGGGGCTCTGACCCAAGAGGGGCCCTGTGGCCGACGAAGGGCAGAGGTGCAGATGGGGAGTGGGGGTGGGTCTCACCTGCTTGGGCTTCAGCGCTGGGAGGGGCTTGGCAGGAGGAGCAGGTCGGAGCTGGCGGGAGGAAGGGGCAGTCAGGACCACCAGCCCATGGGTTCAGTGTTCTCCTGGGCCCGGGTGATCAGCCTTCCGAGAGGGCAGCAACCACTACCCTGGGGTCTGGGGCCCACGAAGTCCAGCCCCGGCCCTCCACCTCCCCAGACCCACCTGGCGCCCTCTAGAAGACCTGGCTGCCGACCCCACCACAGCTCACCTGGTCTGGTGCCTGCCGGGTGTACACGGGAACCTGGAAAGGTGGGCTGGACCTGGCGGCCGGGGGCTGCAAGGAACAGGGCTGTGAGCCTGGGTCTCACAGGGCGCTGACTCCAGGGACCCCCAGCTTCAGAGCTGCTCCCCGGCTCAGGACCCAGGTTCCTGCCTCTCCCAGAAGTGGGAGGATAAAGCTCTGTGTGTGCACATGGGGTCTCTGCCCCACCCCCCGCCCCGCAGGGCCCTGAGCACAGGATGTGACCCCCAAGTCCCTCGGCCGTGTGGATGCATGGAGGTGCTGGGCAGCAGCGGAGGGTGTCTGGGCCTCCAAACCATCCTCAGAGGGACCCTGCGGAGGCCAAGAGCCTCAGATTCAAGTTCAAACTCCAATTCCATCACTGGCTTACTGGGCTCCTCAGACCGCCCGTTCTAAAGCCCTGTTTCTGCCTCTTTTTTTTTTTTTTGAGGAAGATCGGCCCTGAGCTAACATCTGCCAATCCTTCTGTTTTTGCTGAGGAAGACTGGCCCTGGGCTAACATCCATGCCCATCTTCCTCCACTTTACATGGGATGCCACCACAGCATGGCTCAACAAGTGGTGCATTGGTGCACGCCCGGGATCCGAACCGGTGAACCCCGGGCCACCGCAGCGGAGCCCATGCACTCAACTGTTTGCGCCACCATGCCAGCCCCCGTTTCTGCCTCTAAACGGGTGATGGTGGCGGCCGCTCTAAGCCCCAAGGTGCTGCACACTGGCACGAGATTTGGGGGTGGCCTGGGGAGCCCGTCAAGGACGGCTGGTACTCACAGCAGGAGGCGGCCGCTTAGGGGTCACCACGGAAGCCTTGGGCCTGGAGGGCTGGCTGGGGTGGGTGGTAGGGATCGGCTCTGGGGAGCCCATGGCGGGGGCCGGAGCCCTGCCCTTTGCTGGCATGCCAGACCCCTCGTGGAACAGGGGGTTGGAGAGCCCCATGGTGGTCTTGGGCGCCACATTCCTGGGGAGAAAGTGAGAGAGGTTAGCATGTCCTGGCCTCAGGGTCCAGCCCAGGGACTCGAGGGCTCGTGGGTGTGGGGTCCCCTGGCCTGGCCAGGGTCCCTCTTAGCTGCGGCAGCCCTTGGGTGGTGTGCCAGTCACAGCCACACAAATAGGGAGAGGCAGCCTTATGTGTCCTGAGCCCCATTGGCTCTGGGGTCCAGTCAGGCTGGAGGTGCTTGGAGGCCAGTGGGCAAGTGTGTCCTCCTGTGGCTGGCCCGCGTGTCAAGGTCCCCACAGAGCGAGCACCAACGGTAGGCTCAGAGTGCAGCTGCCCACCGAGGGCAGCGGGCTATGGGGGCAGCTTCCCCGAACCCACGTCATCCCAAGTGTGTAGGCGCTGATTGGGGTCAGGTGTGTGTGGGGGTTGGGGGCCCTCTCTCCGGGGCTACCACATCTCCAACCTGTCACCAAAACTTGTCACCTGTTCCTGCCTCAGCAAGAGGCAGGGGACCCAGAGCGAAGGCTCCAGTGGCCCCTGGTTGAGGCCCCCGGGCCCTGCTGTAGGACCTGCTGGTTCTTCCTCAAACAGCAGCACGCTGTTTCCCAACAGTGTGATCACGGGAAGTGCTCCTTGCGCACCCTGGTGTTTTGCAACCCCACAGTGCCCTCACCTCCGTCGGACAGGCCTCCAGGCCTTGCGGTAGATGACCACGCCTGCCACGGTGAGCGCCAGAGCCACCAGGAGCAGCACGGGCACCAGCACCATTGGGAGGCTCCCGGACGCTGTGGGACACACGAGGCCAGGTGTCAGCGGCTGGACCCAGAGCGAGGCAGTGTTGGGGGAGAGCCCGCGGGGGCCGCAGCCCCTGCCTGGCTGGCTTGTGGCTGAGGGGGGCGCCTTTCTCGGGGCCTCCCTTGGCCGTGAGGAGAACGCAGAGCCCTGGGCCCCTCCCCACCACCAAGGCCGTCTGAGGACCCTCAGCACTGAGACCCAGTACTTTACACCAGCGCTCCAGGCTCTCAGGTGACGGGTCGGAGGACTTAGTGGCTGGTGGCCCCAGGCCCACAGTGACGTGGGCATGGCCCGGCCAGGCCCTGGAGGCCGTGCTGCTGTCAACAGCTGCATGCTCAGTGGCCACTGGGGAGGAAGACACCGGGGGTGGGTGGCTCTGAGGTTCCCGGGCCCAGGAGGGGCTGAAGACCCAGCAAAGGAGCTGGTGCTATCCTGTCACCGCTCCCCCGCCCCTCCCTCTAGGACGGCCACCCTGCTCCGGTAGGGCAGAGGTGGGGACACAGGCTCCTGGGCCCTGCCCTCCACCTGATGGGTCAGAATGCCCGAGGGGCTGCAAACCCACATTTCAACAACGCCCTTCATGGTTTGGGGGCACATGGCTTCCTTCTCAGCCCTGCCCAGGAAGTTTGAGAAAAAGCAGGACCTCCAGCCGGACCCCATCAGGCTGTGCAGGTGTGGAGGCCCCGGGGCGGTCCACGCCCTACCTGTGCGCCCGTTGGGCAGCAGCTCTGCGCAGTGGGGCGGGGCCCAGCCCGGGCGGCAGTGGCACTCGCTCCTGTGGTTGCACACCTGGAGGAGGAACAGGTGTCAGGCCAGGCTTCCAGGCCCTGCGTCCACCGCACTGCCAGGTGCCCGAGCAGGTGCCATCTGCTCCTCTGAGTCACCGGGCCCGGCCTCAGGCCTGCAAGGGGCTCTGCTATGACCCCATGACGAGCCCAGCTCCGTCGTCCAGGGCCTGCCACCCACCGCCAGGACCGCATGAGACATGCAGACAGCCACAGCCCCTCACCAGGGGCCTGCGAGGGGCTGACCAGACTCCCGAGGGCTCTGACCAAACACTGGAGCGCAGGCGCAGGGCAGCTTCACAGTGGGCTGTCCTCAGGCGCATCCCCCACCTCGCCCTTGTTTCAGGCTCTCAGTGGCTCTGACTTTCCTGACATCACAGCCAGGTCATTAAGAGCTGAACGCACTGGCTGCATCTCAAATAGAACATCTCAAACCTGACCAGCCCCAGCCCACGTGTCCACCAGCACCAGGACCGTGCTGGGCCTCAGTGTCCCCACAGGATGCCCAAGTCCTCGCCAGCTCCTGCCACAGCCCCCGGGTGCTGGCCTCTGCCCTTTGTCTACCTGGGCTCGTCCCAAGCACAGCCTACCCATCTCCTTCAACTCCAAAGGGCCAGTGGCAGGCTGTCCTCCCCGGCCCACGTACCCCGTGGTTGCTGCACTGCGCAGAGCAGTTTCTGGATCTGTAGACATGGAAGTCCTGGCAGAATCCTTTCCAGCAAACCTGGAGGGCAGCGGGCTCTCCTCAGGCAGCTGGTCTAGACCCCTGCTTGGTGTCCCCGCCCCCTACTCTCCCCCACCAGCCAAAGCTGACCCCAAACCCGCAGAGTGAGCTTCAAGGGGGGCAGTCTGTGGCCACCACATCCAGGATGGGCTCGTCTGCAGCCCATCGGCTGGCCAGCCTTGGCCAACCTGTCACTGCCACCAGGGCCACAGAGACCGGCTCCACCCGGCCCCTGGGGGGACTTACAGAACGGAAAGGTCTTCACACTGACTGAGAACGGGCTTCTCCAGTGCCTCCCTCTGCCCCCTCTGAGTTTCTACTGAGAACAGAAGAGCCCTCCCCTCGGCCCTCCTCCAGCCACCCTGCCTGCTCCAGACCACGTGAGCTCGCCCGTGTGGGACACGTCCAGGACCTGGGGGTCCAGCAGCCTGACCGCAGCATGAGGCACGTCGGGCTCACGTCTGGGTCACGGCCCTTGGAAGCCCTTGAAAGCTGCAGTCTGTGACACGCCTGCGAGTGGCCCCCTCGGTGCTCACCTTCTCCTCGCCGCACTGGGTGCCTTCGGGCACCGGCTCATATGCAGCACTGCCATCCAGGGCAAGAGCCTGGCAGGCAGATGAGTGGGAGGTTAGGGTGCAGGAAGTCCGCTCAGGGGGCTTCTGCCCACCCTCACAGTACAGGACACCACACCTGTTGACCCTGTGGACAGAGGAACATGCCATGGTGCCAGCTCTGCTGGGGCTCCTGCTGACTGCACTCAGGGGGACCCGTGGAATGCAGGAGATGAGGCCCAGGACCCTTGGACAGGCTGGGGGTCTGCTGACAGTTCGTCCACACCCCTAGGACCTGCAGATGGACATCCATACCCCAGCCACAGTAGCCCACCGTCCCTCCCATGAGGGCAGCATGCTTAGGCCTGGGGGTCCTGGAAGGCAGCGGACCCAGCTCTGATTCCTTTGTGCAGAGGACCCTCTCAGGTGGCCCCACCTGTGGGCACATCCTGTGCCCTGGACAAGGGAGAGTCAGGCCATGGCTAGACACTCACCTGCTGGAGCTGAGGGGGACGCTGCCCCTGCAGCCTAGGGAGATGCTATAGGCGTAGCACGTCTCCTCGGCAGCCCGTGACCCTGCGGGGCCAGGAGCAGGTGAGTCCACGGGCCTGGGACCTACAACCACCCCAGGAGGCCTGTGGGTCATAGGGCCAGGGCTCACGTGCGCCTCACCTGGCCCCCACAAGTCCTGGCACCTCTGAGCCAGCGTGGGACAGTTCCCGTCGTAGCAGTAACCCCCCGGGCAGGGCGTTCCGTTCTCCTGGAAGGCGTCCTCTGGGCACGCTGGCTGTTGGCCGTCGCAGTACTCCTCAAGGTCACAGCCGTCCTTCTGGGGGCGACACAGCTCGCCGGCCGGCTTCACCTGGCCCAGCAGAGCCAAGTTCACCGTGGGAACTGGGGCCCCAAACAGACCTGTGCCCCCTGCCTTGTCACCGGTGTTCCTGGGACCCTCCTCCCCAGCCGCCGACCGTGGGGTGCGGCTGGCTGGGCCCGTGCTCACCCTGCACGCGTGGCAGCAGGCGCCTTGGGCGCACTCGGCCCCCTGGGCCAGCTGGCAGGTGGTGGCGTTGCAGCAGCGGTTCTGGCAGTCCTGGGGGCGGGGTGACGGCCAAGGTCCGAGTGGGCTGCACACTGGGGCCAGCGCCAGGCCTCAGAGCAGACTCTGGGGACCCACCTCCCTCCACAACCTGCCCTGGCTGGGCCGGGCCTCCACGGGGAAGTCACTGTCACTCCCTCCCGTGGGTCCCTGTGGGTAGCTGTGGGTGTCACTGGAGAACAGGAGTGTGTTCTGACGTGTGGCCAGGAGCACGCAGGCACTGGTGGGGAGCAGAGGGTGGCGGCAGGCGTGCAGCCCCGTACCTGAGGGGCCCCGCAGTCGCACTGCTCCCCGCGCTCCACAAACCGGTTCCCACACACGGGGCCGCCCACCAGCCGGTCGGGGTCAGGGGCGTTCACCACGCAGGCTGTCTGGGGCTTTTCCACGAACGTCTCCAGGTCAGCCCGGCTGCAATGGCTGAACATTCTGGGGAACTTGAGGCTGAGAGGAGCGGGGTCCCCGTCAGGGGAGGACGGGCAGTGGGGCAGACCGCCTATACCCCCAGGATACCCCATTCTGCAGGTGGCCTTGGCCAGGGTGGAGCCGGGCAAGCCTCACCCGATGCTGGCTGCCATGACGCAGCCACCGCCGTCCCGCGGCACGGGGCAGTAGCAGCCCTGCACGTTCTCATCATGGTCCATGCCCAGGTTGTGGCCCATCTCGTGGGCCATGGTGCTCGCCACGCCAATGGGGTTCTCACTGTGGTCCTGCGGGGAGAGGCCGTGCTGGCTGATGTCGCCCACATGGCCCGTCCACTCTCCTGCCCATCCTCACTGCCCCAAGCAAGGCTGAGAGGTTTGGTGTCACTCCCTGCCAACAATAGTTCTTAAAACCTAGAAGCAGCAACAAACCCTCCAGAAGAGGCAGCCGGTGTTCACGGAGACAGCTTGGGGACAAGCATGTGAACCTGAGTCCTGAGGTCGCCCCTCACGAGTTTCAGCTCACGCTCCGAGCCCGCTCCCCACCCAGCAGCCAACAAATAGGCGGGGTTCCCTCCACACCTGGTTCACGGCCCCCGAGGAGGACTGCAAGCACATGGCAGACACCCTGGCCAGTCCCACGGTAGTCCCGGCGAAGTCGACCCCCCTGGGAACAAGAGCAGTGTCTGTACATGTGCCCTCCTTGTCCCCCCAAAGCCCTTCCCAGGGGCCCTCCGCCCGCCGGCCCCTCGACGGCGTTCTGCCCTCACGTGATGAGCTGCGCGTTGTCGTGCAGCTGCCGTCCCACCAGGTCCCTCGCGCGCCAGGACAGGAAGTTCTCCAGTGTGGTGTCGGCCTGAGGGCTGACCTGGATCTTATCCCCGCCGTTCCAGATCTCCAGGCCCACCAGGACCACGCGGAAACTGAGTTCCTGATAAAGCTGTGAGAGGACGGAGTCCCTTGGGTCAGGCTCCAGGACAGCGAGGCCAGGTGAGAGGGCCGGAGCCCACCCCAGAGAGGGCTGGGCTGGAGGCCAGCGGAGGCACTGTCCGCTGTGAGTGGGACAGGGGAAGGAGGCTAGGGCAGATCTCAGCGCCTTCCTCACCTGGCTGATGGTTCTCACTGCCACCCCACCCCACGGTCACTCACCCCCCACTCTCCCGGCTTCCCCTACAAATAGGGTTGCTATGGGGCGAGGTGATGCCTGGTCCAGAAGGGACCTGTGCGGCCGAGGGGTCCTGGAAGCCCCTGCTAGGAGGAACCCCCAGCAGTCCCTGGAGGGAACGTCCCCCCAGGGTGGACAGAACCCCACCTTGTCCACGTGGTTCACCACCTCCAGCACCCTCTTTCGCACAGCCGTTCTGCTGCCCAGCTTCTGGAACTGGAGGACAGCAGACCCTCAGGCTGCAGCCTGTTGGCAGCCCGGCCCGGCCCTACCTCGCCCCTACCTCGCCCCGCCCCCACCCCAGGTACCTCTGTGCTATCCGTGACCACAAACAGCTCCACGTAACGGGTCTCTCGGGATGGCGGCCAGTTCTGGGGAGCAGCGACAAGAAGCGGGTCAGCCTCCCGAGCCACAGCCCTCCTGGCCTCAGCCCTGTCTCCACACACTGACCATCTCCTGGGCTCTGGAGCTGGCGCCCAGCCCCTCTCAGTGTGGGGGACAGTCCAGGAGGCTCCAGTAGACCAAGGCGCCCAGTCTGCAGCTGCTGGGCAAAGCCAGGCCCAGCCCACCAGCCACGGGGACGGCTCAGAGACGCCCAGCCCACCCCACCACAGTGAGTCTGGGGGATGCACAGGCCCAAGTGGACCAGGGATGAAGCTGGCCGGGGCCTCCCCTCACCCTGGGCCTGAAGGCTGCCGAGACCCGAGGTCCCAAGATGCTCTCCAGGCTGCTGTCGCTGACCCCGCAGGTCCCAGCCTTCTGCTGTAGGTGCTGCACTTCATACAGCGCGTGCTGCCCCTCTTCACCGCCCCCACCCAGGGGCTCGATCAGGTGGATGGCAGAGCCGGCCCGGAAGAAGCCCCTGAGAGTAGACGGGAGCAGGTGCTTCTGAATTAGTGCTTCCTCCCACCTGCCCAACTGGAGCCCTGAAGGACAAGAGGATCCCTGAGGTGCCCGAGGACGTGGCTCCCCCTCTGCACTGACGTGCTGGGGACGGTGTCCAGGGACTTGAGGGAGCCTCGTGCTCGGGGAACCCGTAACTTCTGCCGGTGCAGAAAAGTGTCCCCACCTCCAGCCCGGTTCTTGCCTCAGTCTATTCTCTGGACACTGAGGGGAGCGCTGGGGCCCTGACATTCTGACGCCCCAGCCCGGCCTGTGGCACTCACCTGAGGCCAGCACAGGTGCTGAGGCTGGCTGCGGAGTGCCGGTGCCCCTCCACGCGGCCCTGGTAGAAGCAGTGATCCTGCGGGAGAAGAGCGTGAGCATCCGCAGGCCCCGCTCCCAGTGCCCCCACTGCAGCGTGCAGAGGGCCACCCGGGCCATACCTGCCTCTGTAACTGCTCCGTCACCTGGGAGCCATTGGCGGCCATGTAGGTCTCCGTGTAGCCCGAGCCCACCAGGTCCCTGGAAGAGATCCACTGTGGCTTCCTGGGCCCCGCCTGCTTCCCCCTTGAAGCTGCCTCTGGCTGGAGGAGAGGCTGGGCAGGGAGCCCGAGGCCCAGGACACAGACACAGGTGTGCTGGGGGCAGGGGTGGGGCCCAGGCTCCCCTGCTCACCTGTTCTTCTGCAGATGCAGGGTGAAGTTGTGCTCTTGGGCCCCAAGAACATAGCTCACACTCTCTGGGTACAGGCCCTGAGTCGGGAAAAAAGGAGGGTCCAGGGTGACGGGCGTGGCCTGAAACCTGGGCACCCAACAGCCAAAAGCTCCTCAGAGGACCCTGGGGCTGGGCAGGGCTGGGTTGAGCTGGAGGGGTTCCTGGGCAGGCAGGAACTCCACCTAGAACCACACCAGGCTCCTCGGGCCTCAGTTTCCCCATCTGTCTATACAAGGATAATGATGATGCCCCCTCCCCAGGAAGCAAGTCCGGGACATGGCCCCTGACAGGCAGCCCTTAAAACCAAGGCACCAAAGCAGGTGGGCTGGCCTCTCCAGCACCAGCGCCCTCCCCCCCCCCCCCCCCAGAGGCCCAACTCTCCCGGCCATGGGCCTGATTGGAGTGGAGCAGTTGGGGTGGGGTGGGTGCATGAGATTGAGGGGGGAGCACCCCTAGCCAGCAGAGCCCTCACTCAGGCCTGCTGAGCCCTCGGGACAGTGTGTGCCATGCCCGCAGGGTGGGGTGAGGCCCAGGCAGCGGACAGCCCTTACCCCCACCACCCCCACACCAAGGTCAGGTTGGGGCTGTCTGTCATACACACGCAGGCTCATCCACTCTCACACAGGCTCACGCCCCCCAAACGCGCACACTCACGGGTTTCAGGAATGCCCCCAGGCAGCCCCGGGAAATCCCAGCCCGGCCCAAAATGCCCCACAGAGGTGTGTCGCCGCAGACACGCAGCGCAACTCGCCTGGTGAGCCATCTCCTCCAGGCTAAGAGGAATCTGACTTAGTGAAACTGGGGAGTGGCCCGCGGGCGGGCGGGCGGGGAGTGGCCAGTAGCAGGTTCCTGGTAGGGAGGCGGGGCAGTCCCCCTTCCCCCTCAGCGGACACCTCTCCAGGGTGTGGCCCCGGCCAGAGTGAAGCAGGATGCAGGATGAAGGTGAGGCCGAGGGTGGGGGGAGACACAGCCCAAGTGGACTGGGAGCCCCGCCAGGGGCCCAGAGGCCCACCTGGCTCTCAGCCCCAAAGGCCGCTGGGCACACAGAGAGCTACTATCCCTTTCACAGACGGAAGCTGGCTCTGAAGGGCCAAGAAGGGACCCCCAGGCCAGCTCCCCCAACACTTACCAAGTGGGATGGCTGGGCTCGGCGGGCTCGGGGTCCTGGCAGGCGCCGTGGCCACACCACCTCATACTGCTTCACATGGGGCAGGGCGGTGCTGGGGGCGACCGCTGCGGGAGAGGCAGGGTCAGCAGGTGCGCAGGGCACCCTCCCACCCTGGGAGGCCCCTTCCCAGGCCCGTTGTGGGCCTGCCCCACCTCCTCTGGGGGGATCGCGGACAGCACCCTAGGGAAGCAAAGGCTCTGAGCTGGCTCCCTGACCCGAGTGGAGGTTCTGTGTTAAAAAGGCCACAGGATCCCTGCCCTGGGTGGGGCCAGGCAAACCTGTGCCCAGCAGCACCCAGAGACACTGCCCCGTGTGCCAGCCCTTCCAGGAGCCACCAGGCTGCCCCCAGACGGCTCCCCGCCATGGCCAAGGGCTGAGCTGGACACCTCCTCCCCGGAGTGAGGAGGCACAGGCCCTGGGGGAGAGTTTACACCTTTTCATCTCAACTAATCACACAATTGCCTCTAACTAGGGGACTGACGGACCTCCCCCACAGGTGGTTCACCCAGCCCAGATCTAGAAACCCCCTCCTATCCCACAGCAGACAGTGGGAGGCCCAGAGCTGGAGAGCTCGAGACCAGCCTCGGGGACTCTTTTCAGGTGTTAGTGAATGTGTCTGTTACAAACCTCCAGGAACGAAAGGCCGTGGGGTGGGCCAGCCCAGGCCGGCCTGCCTGAGAAGTTGCCCCCTCCCCTACGGCTCCTTTGGCAGCCTCCAGCCCAGGCGTCTCGGAGGAGCCAGGCTGGGACCAGGACCAGAGACAGGTGCCCATGTGGCTAGACCACCCCCTGGGGTGCCCCACCCTCAGCTCCAGACCACTGCTCCTCCGTTCTCCCATCCCTGGCTGGCTGGGGGTCCTCTGGAGTGGGCAATCACCCCAGGACCCCAGGCTACATCGGAGCAGCCGGTCCTCCACCCTGCTCTGCCCCAGCCCCAGTCCCCACACAGCTCAGGAAACGCCCCAGGCAGCGTTCTTCCTCTCAGTTCCCCTTTGAAGGTCCCGGCTGTCCACCGCTAGGGCCTCCCCGCTGTGACCACCTCTGCGCCCCCGACCCCCGGGGACCAGCCCAGAACCAGCAGCGCTGCAGAAGACCAGGTGGCCACCCCACACCCAGATGGTGGCCCCTCGGACCTGGGCCAGAGCCCAGGCCCAGCACTCACCCTGCAGCCACAGTGTGCCCAGCAGCCAGAGCCCAAGGCTGCACATGGCCAAGGCAGGGGGCGGGGGTCAGTCGTCTGGGGGTCTGGGGATCCGGGGATGGGGCGGGAGCGGGAACAGGGAGGCGGCTCTGTGCACTCTGGGACACGGTCTGGCCCGTGCTCCGCTGGGAGGCTCATCCTGTGCGCCACGCCCCGGCCACCAGCCCCTAGCCACTGCCAATCGGTCCCTCCGACGCCAGGAGGGGCGGGGCTGGGGCGGGGTATGCAGGCACCTGGGGGTGCATTCTTCCTCCCCGCTCATTCCCAGGTGTTCCTGTGTCTACTTCTGGTTCCCTACAGGCTGCTAGACAGTCTAGCGTCCAACACATGGAAAATGCTTCATAAATGTGGACCAATTAACCGAGGGGGGGAGGTGAATGCACTAACTTGGCCCCTCCCTGCAACTCCACATCCTGCTTGTGCTGAGGAGACCCAGGCTCCAGGGCTGGCTGGAGGCGGCGGGCCTGGGGGTCTTGGAGAGGAAGTGACTGTGAAAGGCTGGCTGGGGGATTCAGGGGGTACTGTGCCTGCCCATTCGCACTACTCTCTGCCCTGCGGGGTGGGGCCGTCCCCACGCTGGCGTGGCACTAAGGCCTCTCCTGGTGGGTCCCTGTCACCCCCGGGACCCAGGCCTCCTGTGGCTGAGTCAAGTGGGTTTGCCCTTTGCAGTTCTGGACATGCTCCCTGGGTTAGCGGGACAAGAGAGCATGTCAAGGCCTAAAGTGAGAAGGTACGGTGCCCACAGGCAGTTCCAGACCAGAGCTCAAAAGTTCAACGGACCATTACTTTCCCCAAGTGAATGGCTAAAAAGAAAGGCAGGAGAGACTAGCACAGACTCTAGGAGAATCCAGCACAGGTCACAGGAAGCTGGTGCTGGGGCCACTCAGACTTCTGACCCTGAGCTTACACACAACCTCGTATTGTAGAATGATGCCACATGAACCCCAAATCCTCCTGGCAACTTTCTCTCCCCTGGTCGTATGTTGCAAGTTATTTGAAACAGAAGTTCAAAGGCAATGTGTCCTTTAGCGGCAAAAACAAAAGCCGCTACGAACGCACAGGCTTCGCATGAGCTGACCAGATGGCCTGCGTGCGGCTAACTCAAAGGGACTCAGCGCTGGCAGGCAGGCAGGACAGTGAGGCCCGCGGAACCCCACTGAGGATGCAGGAACCCTTGCCTGGCCCGCAGGACGCACCTAACTCGTCCCCACCAGTGACCGGCAGGTGCCACTGGACGCTCTGCTCCGGCCATGACTACCTGCAACCTGGTATAGCGGGAAAGTCAGCTGCCCAGGAGAGGGACACAGGGACCTGGGCCTCAGGGCCAGCGGGCTCCTCTGCTCACGGCCTGGCGTTTGCACAACACCACGCCTCTGTGGCAACTCTGGCTGGCAGATAAGCTTGCTTGCTCACAGTCACGCCTGCACACACTGCAGATCAGAAGAGGAAGCCGTCTGCGGCTTGTGAGTCAAGCCCCCAGCTCTGCTGTGCCCCCTTTGCACACCAATGCCCTGCTAGGGGACCTGTCTGTGCAGCCAGGTTCTCATCCCTCCTCGCCTGCCGAGGCCCCTGGAGCAGGTGGTCGTGTATGAAAGTGACATACATGAAAATCAGCAGGAAGGGGCAGCTTGGTGGAGAAAACGGGCGCAGGGGCATGGAGGTGTTTGAGGCAGTGCACACCCAGGGCTGGCTGTGCCACCCACTGCTGAATCAGGAAGGCGGGCACAGGGAGGGCGGGTGACCGCCGAAGGGCCAGCCACAGGTCTATGGGGGGGGGCGGGGGGGCACACCACCTCTGCTCCTGCAGGAGAAGGCCAGGCCTCGTGACTCACTCTCCAGCCCCGGCCAAGCTACAAGACCAGGAGCTGTGCTTCCCCCTAGCGCCCGGAGCAAACCCCAGCCTCGGTTGGAGGGGTTCCCGCTGACTTCAGGGAGCCCAGTCCCGTTCACCTGGACCAGGTGTGGACACGTGGACACCAGGCCTGGACCTCGTCCCCAGCACAGCATCTTGGTAACTATCTTGGTGTTGCTCAGATGCCATGTTTTTTTCACTTTGTCTTTGAAACCAAAAAAAAAAACAAAACCCAAAGACAGTGTCCCTGCTCCATTTAAGAGAGCAGAGCAGCAAACCCGCAGACATCGCTCTGGTCTGGGAGGCGGTACAAAGCGAACCTCCAGCACCCTAAGAGACGGGACGGGCAGAACACAGACGACACCCAGACTTTATGTTTAAACGCTAACAACACACACAACACACGTGTTTCAAGAATATTTGATTAACAAGCCCTGAACTCATTTATCCGTAGCACCTGGCGGCACTTCCTTCAGTTGAGGCGGGTGCAGGGCCCCGAAGGCCTCACTGTGCGGCCACCACCACCCTGGGCGCTGGTGCCGGGGGCCCCCGCAGGACGGGCACTTGGGGGGCCGCCATCTGGCTTCGCTCTGCAGAGAGGCGCTCCAGGCGCTCTGTGTAGAAGCCGTTGAAGTCGAGCCTGCGAGGAGGAAAGGAAGGGTGCATGGCGGAGGTGAGAAAGCAGGGGTGGGGAGCAGTAAGGGAGGCCCAGGCCGCAGTCACACAGGGCTGGGGCCATGACAGGCAGCGGCGTGGTGGAGAGCCACTGCACCCACCTGGAGATGACACTGGCCATGCCCTGCTCGCAGTCGCTGGTGCTGTAGACGCTCAGTCGGGCCAGAAGGTCCAGCAGGTAGGCTGAGAAATTCTTATCAAACTTATTGATGGTGGCCTCGAAGCTGGAGGCCAGCTGAGGAGCATCCACGTGCTCGGCCAGGTACTGCAAGACACGTCAGCCCTGTGAGCTCACCTCGCCCCCGGGCCTTGGCACGACTCTCCAGCAGCTCAGCTTTCCTTCTCCCTCTTTTTTTTTTTAAATACAAAAATGCATTTCAGGAAGTTTTTGTGTCATAAATGTAAGAAGTTACGGCATCTTAAAATTCCTGAGACCACAGGACACAGAGACATAATTCGACGGCTGGCACCCTACTCCTACCACTGCTCAGAACCTCAGGTTTTCTTTATGGAGCTCAGGTTTTCAAGCTAACTCGTGTTTTCTCCTGGCCGCCTCTCAGCAAGGCGAACGGACTGGGGACACAGGAGTACCCACCTGGGCTCCTCCAGACCTGGCACTGGCACCACAGGGCCCATGCCACTCTGTCCACGCCCCATAAAAGACAGACGCCTGCATCTGCTGAGCCACCTAACCCTTCTAGGTAAGGACAGACCCTAATAATAGTGTAAACAGGGCCCAGGGCCCTGTGCCTGCTGAGCACCAGGCCCTCTGCTGGGCCTCCCTGCCCTGGCTCGCCCTCACCTGCCCTTCGAGGCCTCCCTGGCTCACCCTCACCTGCCCTAGGGGGCGTCCCCCGGCTCACCCTCACCTGCCCTAGGGGGTGTCCCCACAGCTCGCCCCTCACCTGCTCTAAGGTGCCTCCCTGCAGCTGGCCCTCACCTGCCCTTTGGGGCGTGCCCGCAGCTCGCCCTCACACCACCTGCTCTGGATAACTGCAACCTTGCCCTGGAGCACAGTGGGGCTGAGGCTGGGACAAGGGGGGAAGGGAGATTCTCTCTTGCTTGTGTTTGGAACCTAATTTTAAGACTGTGTTTTTTTAATCAAAGGGAAGATAGAAATGAACCAGTGGTGGTGGGTTTGGTTTTGAAGCGCTGCAATCCTAACATCGTGTCACGTCTGGTCAGGAAGGAGGGTCTTCTGGACTAACCCGCAAGGCCACGCACCTTCCTGGCCAGCTCCTTCCGGGTGCGCTCCTCGGCCCGCTCGGCCTCCGTGGGCGGCCCCAGCATGGTGCCGTGCTCCAGGGTCAGGCGGCCCAGCTCACTGTCTAATTTCATGCTCTGCGTAAACCTCTTGGGGTCAGGAAGAAACGCTTCTGTTAGTTACAACCCATTCGCTCCACGTGACAAGTTCCCCACTCCTGTCTGGGACACCCAGGAGGCTGCAGGTGGAAATGACCAGCTGCACCCACATGATTTCCAAGTCTGCCTGTCACAAGGCTCACGAGCCAATTTTTCTAAAAACAGTTTCTTTCCACTGTGTTTCCATCTGGGAATCCCACATGGCTCCTAAGTGTCTAGGGAATCGAGTTCACATGCTCCTGTCCCCTGCGTGATTAGCCACCATGTCATGGGCTCTGCCACCTCCCCACATGCTCCCACTGGCCCCTCTGACCCAGACCCCCCACCAGTACCCAGGAGCCCCATGAGCCCCCCCGTCGCCCCTTCTGCCTCCTAACACTCTCTATGCCATCGTCTTGGGGCAACTGCCTATAACAGGTGCCCCATAAACACTTAACTGAATCAAAGAACTCGAGTTCTGACAAAATGAGCACAAGGGGTGTCCAGAAAAACATCCTGGACAGAGACCCTGCAGCCAGCCATCCCTGCCACAGCACTGGGCAAGGCTCAAGGCAGGACACGCCCAGGGAGAGCGAGAAGCAGAGGCATGGCGGGGCTGGGGGCACCGCACCTGCATGCAGTTGGTGAACATGACGCACACGGACATGAGCTTGGAGAAGACCTTCAGTAGCTCGGGGTTGGTCAGCATGCAGTCCTTTAGGCAGTTGTCCAGGAAGCTCGTGTGGTGCCCCAGCACGTCGTCAATGTTGGAGGCCTGCAAAGAGGGCACCAGCCTCCTCTTGGAACAGCTTCACCAAGAGACAAACTCTACACCTTCCAGGCTTCAGTTCTGGCTACTTTATACACTTCTGTTTTGTTTCCATTTTTTAAACAACTCTGTGGTCTTTTGGGGGAAAACTTCAAAATACCACTAAAAGAAACTGATACTGAATGTGCCCCAAAAGGTCCACGGTTTTGTTCCTTAAAGACAGAAAGCAAGGAGGAAATACTGCTACTCGTCACTTTCTGCTTCTGGAATTTGGGGACGGTTGAGATCTCTGGCTGACAGGCCTAGAATGTGCTGTGGTGGGAGTGCGGGGCCCCTGGTGCTGAGGTTCTCAGAGCTCCCTCAGAGTGCAAGGCACCCATGCTGTTCAAACAGCTCCATTCTCAGGGACGTGGCATGCGGGAGCAGACAGCCACCGCCCACACACATGCGTGCGTGCACACACACTCACACTCACACTCCCTTTTCATGTTTGGAAGGACACCTGCTCTCTGCATGTGTGCAAAGGGCTTTGCCTTCTGACCAGGCACAGAGATACCACCAGCTCCCTGCTGGCCTCCCGGCCGCCGCTCTCTGACTGCTGCTCAGGAGTAGTGGAAGGCCACCCTGCAGCCCCCTCCACACGAGGAGGAAGAGGACAGCGAAGCTCTGGGATCCGTTCCCTGCAGTTCCCTCCCTGACACCTGACCCAATACTCTCTTCTCTGAAGACACTATTTCGTGAAACATATCTTCGTTGGTATAGAGCCTTCTAAGTGCTACAACTCACGGATTTCAGGTTTTTCTCAAGGATATGCCAGGTTGGTTCCATCACTTCAAACATCATATAGTACTGAATATTCTGGACAAAATTAAGCATTCGCTGCCGCAGAGTGAAAGCACCAGCAAACCTGAGGGAGCATACGGACGGTTTCAGAGGAGAAGCAGAGCCAGGACCTCCTCGGCACCTGAGAAGCACCAGCCGCTTCCGCCTCCGCCCTGCAGGGGCGGTCGTCAGGGGCACCACTCGCAACACCACGCCTGCAGCTCAACGACAGCTCACACACGGCACACCACACTTGGGGCCACAGACCGTCTGCAAAGTGCCTCTGGCTTAAGTGGAGTGGTCTGTCAACACCATGCAGCGCCAGGTGTGCCGGGAGGAGGAAACAAACACTCCCAACCCCCAGAGGAGCTTGAGGTCCTTGAAGGGCTCACGCTCAGACACACCTACCGTCTTGCAGGTCAGTGCAGAGGGCTGGGGACACAGCCAGTGTCCCTTATGGTCGACAATGGCCCTGTGCTGCTGCGCGACACAAAAACGCCATGGCTCTAAAAGCTACAAATGTGCATTCTCAAACCGCTTTTTTAAAGGTGTGAAGCACGAAGCCATCCTGCTTTGAGGGAAGCGTCACGAGCAGAGGGAGGACGTACCACTTGGCGGAGTGCAGTGAGTCCTGCTTGGCGGTCTTGTTGCTGATCCAAACGTTGCAGAGCTGCCGCTCCACGTGTTTGCAGTAGAACATGTGCCTGAAGAGCATCTGATAGCGGGTCAGGGCTTTCCTGCAAAGAAGGAAAAGGTACGTAGGATTGTGACTGACACCTCGTGCTTGTTGCAGGCATTAGACATCATAAACGAGGCTTGTGGCACAGAGCACGGCCCGGGCTCCCATGTCACCGACACACAGTTCTGCACCCTGGCCGTGAGGTGCCAGGTAATCGCTGGCCATAGACAGACGCAGAGAGCTGCCTCCAACGCTCTGCAAAAGTAGGCAGTTGCCAGGCGAGGACAATCCTTTCTTCCTGGCAAATCTGGATAAATATCTACTGAAGCTGGCGCCCAGAGGGACCAAGGCTCACCTGTTAATAATCAGTGACAGGGGCCACTTGACAACGTAGTCAAAAGAGAATGCCTCCAGGCCGCTCAGCGTGAGCTCAGTGGGGTCGGCATGGACCATCGCCTTCTCCTGCTTGGTCTCGATGGCCAGAACCCGCAGAAGCTGAGTGATGAGGTCATGAGGCATCAGGTCAATCTTGGGGAGAGAGAAAGAAAAGGCATCAGGTCCTGACCCTACACCCTACCCCTACATCATGAGCTGGAAGAGCGAGACCAGGATGAGGGTGGGCTCCTCGGAAGTCAGATCCTAAATCTTGGAGGCCGGCTTAAGAAACAAAACATCTACTGATAAATCCTAATTCAAAAATTAAACTTGGGCCAGCCCCATGGCTTAGCAGTTAAGTGAGCGTGCTCCGCTGCTGGCGACCGGGGTTCGGATCCCGGGTGCGCACCGACGCACTGCTTCTCCGGCCATGCTGAGGCCGTGTCCCACATACAGCAACTAGAAGGATGTGCAGCTATGACATACAACTATCTACTGGGGCTTTGGGGGAAAAAATAAATAAATAAAATTAAAAAAATAAAAATAAAAAAATAAAAAACAAAAATTAAACCACTTCCCATGAAAGCAGAAAAAGAAAACTACAGAGGAATTCCTTTAAAAATACCCCCTGATGGTATAAATGAGAAGCCACAAGGGCAAGTGAGGAAAATCTGAATCCTTCAGATTTAAACCTTGTACCACAATAAGCAGCAGGCCCAGGTCGAAAGATGAAACACGTCTGGCGGAAAATATGACAGTTACAATGGGCAGAGTCCTGTCCACAAATCGATTTATTCAAATATTTATTAAGGGCCAACGACATGCCACGGACAGTGTGACAGAGTTCTTATAAATCAGTAAGAAGAATGACATGATCGGAAACAAGAGAGAAGAACCACAATGAGGGACAAAGAATGAAGAAGAAACACAAATAGCCGATGGACAGACGGACACGCCGAGTGTGTGGATGACGGCCCCTCCTCAGCTGTGCGGCCCAGGGTCTGCAGAGACCAGATTCCAGTAAGATCAGTCTAGATGTACAATGGCTGTATCTTCTGATCCAATGATTTCACTTCTAGAAATTTATCCTATAAAAATACTCCCAGACCTAAAAACAGACCCAAAAATATACAAAGCAAGAACTGACAGAATTAGGAAGAGACACATTCTACAGTAACAGTTGATGACATCCACACCCCACTTTCAACAAGGGACAGACAACCAGACGGAAGGTCACTAAGAGAGGACTTGACCACAGTGGACCAACTGGACACCCACAGGGCCTTCCCACACACATTCTCAGCTGCACGCAGAACCTTCTCCAGGAGAGACCACTGTGCGGCCCCAAAACTGAGATCATATGAAGCGTTCTGTGACCACAACAGATGAAGTCAGAAATCAGTTAACAGAAGGAAAACTGGGAAACTCACAAATATGTGAACATTAAACACACTCTTAAAAACAAATGGCTCAAAGAAGAAACCACGAGGGAAATGAGAAAAAACCTGAGACAAACGGAAATGGACACACAACACACAACTTGGGATGTGGTGAGCATAGTGCTCGGAGGGAAACGCACGGCGATAAACGCCTGCGTTAAGAGAAGAAAGATCGGGGGCCGCCCGGGGGCGCAAGTGGTTAAGTGCACGTGCTCTGCTGTGGCGGCCCGGGGTTCGCTGATTGGGATCCCGGGCGCGCACTGACGCACGGCTTGTCAAGCCATGCTGTGGCGGCGTCCCATATAAAGTAGAGAGAGATGGGCACGGATGTTAGCCCAGGGCCAATATTCCTCAAGGGAAAAAAAGGTGAGGATTGGCATCGGATGCTGGCTCAGGGCTAGTCCTCCTCATAAAAAAATAAATAAATTAAAAAAAAAGAGAGAGAAGAAAGATCGATAACCTAACTTTAGAAACTAGAAAAAGAGCAAACTAACCCAAAGCTAGCAGAAAGAAGGAAATAAAAAAGACCAGAACAGAGATAAACAAAATGGAGAAAGAAAAACAACAGAGAAAAGCAAAGAAACTAAAAGCTGGTTCCTTGACATCAACAAAATTGACAAACTTTTAGCTCCACTGACTAAAAAAAAGCCTCAAGTTACCAACATCAGAAAGGAAGGCAGGGGGGCCTGCTTGGTGGTGTAGTGGTTAAATTCGCACGCTCCGCTTCAGGCAGCCTGGGGTTCACAGGTTCAGATCCTCGGCGCGGACTACTCACCGCTCATCAAGCCATGCTGTGGCAGGCGTCCCACATATAAAGTAGAGGAAGATGGGCATGGATGTTAGCCCAGGGCCAATCGTCCTCAGCAAAAAGAGGAGGATTGGCAGAAGATGTTAGCTCAGGGCTAATCTTCCTCACCAAAAAAAAAAAAAAAAAAAGAAAAAGAAAAAGAAAGGAAGGCAAAGATGTTACTTTCAACCAAACAGAAATAAGGATCGTGAACACTAACACCTACCCAAATCCCGAGGGGCACACAAACCACCAAAACTGACTCAAGAAGAGGAAATCTGAGCTGACCCTAACCAGTGAGGAGATGGAAGAAATCATCAAAACCTTTCAAGAAAGACGAGGCCATGTCCAAATGACTTTACTGGTGAATTCTACCAAACATTTAAAGAACAATTAACGAATGAATCCTCCTGAAACTCTTCTAAAACACTGCAGAGGAGGGAACACTTCCAAGCTCAACCTACAAGGCCACCATCACCCGACACTAAAGCCAGACAGACACACGAAACTACAGACCAGCATCTCTGACAAACACAGATGCCAAAATCCTCATGGCTACGCTAGCACACCACATCCAGCAGCACGTTAAAAGGACCAAACACCGTGACAAAGTGGGATTTATTCCTGGGACACAAGGATGGTTCAACATATGAAAATCAATCGCATTAGCAGAATGAAAGAAAAAAACACTTTCAACTGAGGCAAAAAAAATATTTGTCAGAGTTGGTTTCTACTGTGTTTTTTTTGAGGACGATAGGCCCTGAGCTAACATCTGTTGCCAATGTTCCTCCCTTCTTTCCTTTTTTCTCCCCAAAGCCCCAGCACACAGTTGTATACCCTAGTTGTACATCCTTCTAGTTGCTCTATGTGGGACACCACCTCAGCATGGCTTGATGAGTGGTGCACAGGTCCGCACCCAGGATCCGAACTGGCAAACCCCAGGCTGCAGAAGTGGGGCGTGTGCACTTAACCACTAAGTAACCAGGCCAGCACCCTACCGTGTTTTTATGTCAACGTCTTTCTCAGGCAGCCGTCCCACGTCTTCAGGAGCAGGGTCAGAGGTAGGCCCTGGCCCCACCCACCTTAAGGTCGTCCTTGAAGGGGTCCGTGTTGGCGGTGCTCATGCGCAGGGCCAGCTCCAGCAGCGCCTCCAGGCGGGTGGGCGTGATGTCGTCCACCGGCTTCTTCAGCTCCTCCTCAGTGAGGTCCATGAAGTGCACGAAGAAGTCCCCCTGGTCCATCAGGAAGTAGCGCTTGATGGACCTACGAGAGCGGGCGAAGGCGAGAGCAGACATCAGTGAGCATGCCTGACACGCAGAACAGCCTGGACTCTTGGACAAACACGGGCAGGGGACTGACGAGGAAAAATCACAGCACACAAAGGGCTCCCACCAAAATGAGCACTCGGGGTGATGAGGTGGGAGTGCTGAGCACAGCACCCACACCCACCAGTGTCCAGAGCTTCCTACCAAGAATTACGTTTACACAAGGGTGGGGCTTGTGGTCAGCTTACAAGGAGCTGAAGTGAACAGCTCTCAGGACGGGGCACAGGACCACTGAGCCAGGCTGTGCAGCAGGAGATGCTGCCAGAAAAGAGCTGAGGAGGTCACTGTAGGGGGCTGAGGAGGGCGGGTGGCCCCTGGCAGGGAGCAGGGCTGGCGAGCTGGGCCACCTCAGACAAGGTGACACGGGCAGACGCTGCCCTCCGCTGGCCCCTGGGGAAGACCTCTGCAGATGTTGGGCAGGAAGCACCGAGGTGGGAGGTCACAGAGGTGCCAAGTTCTCAGGCTGGAGACAACCTGGAGGCATGCCCATTTTTAAAACGACAAAACAGAACGGCTGAAAGCAAATTTCCGATCTCGGGCAAACACTGCAGACAGTGTGCGCTGTGTGAGTGGCGAGCAGCCCATGCGCGGTGAAGAGCACACCTCAGGTGCGCCACGAGCTCCTTCTCCTCCATCAGGAAGCCCAGCAGGACCTTGCTGGCATAGTTAAAAGCCTTCTCGATTTGCTCCACGTACGCCCGCTCCTTCAACGTGTAGATGATCTCTTTGGCCACTGGGCAAGTGACATCGTGACCACACTCTCTGACCACGTTGAGATACTTTCCTGAAAAAGAGATGGAGGAAAGCAGACTAAAATGTTTATTACAGATACAGTAAATTGCAGGCCTGAAGCTCACATATCACAGCCCAAACACTAGCCAGAGGACTGGAAGCACAGGTAACGCAAGAGCAGTTCTAGAGCCCACCTTCCACAGAGGAACAACTGCCACCTCTCGAGGGCAGAGGCACCTCTGCTGTGACTTGCTAGGCTCTTTTTCCTGGATTTTTCTAATCAGAGCACAGAAATAATTTCAAAAAGCCTTATGAGAACCAGATTCTAAATCATCTCCCAACCCTGCCCCAGACAGCTCAGCTCTCAGAGCCAGGCCGGTGGCATGTCTTCGGGGGGTTGGGGGGAGCCAAACACATTTCTAAGCTGAGTTCCTGACCTACATGGTGGTGAGTAAAAACACTGCTGGCCCAGTGGGGTCTGTGTCCTTGGCTGCTTTCCTATAGTGACATGGTGATACAGTAAGAAATATATATTTGGTCTTGTCTCTAGTTCCTAGCACTGAGCTCCTAAAACCCTTGGGATTTCCTGAGTGACAGGGGGTGAGAAGAGCATTCTTCGTTATTCGTAAGCCTCTTCCAACCACTCCTGTGTTTCTGCTCAGGGGGAGAATCGTGGCAGCCCCTAGACAGCTCTAGGATGGGCTAGTGGCCCGAGGAACAAACCCTGTGATTAGAGGGCTGGACCTCTGGGGAGGGGAGCGGGGGCTGGGGATTGAATTAATCGCCAATGGCCAATCATTTCATCAACCATGCCTGTGTAATGGAACCTCCTTAAAAACCCTAAACAAAGGGGTTTGGAGAGCCTCCAGGTTAGTGGACACATCCACCTGCCAGGAAGGCGGCACACCCCAACTCCACGGGGACAGAAGCTCCTGTGCTCGGGACCCTTCCAGACCTCGTCCCTGGACCACTTCATCTGGCTGTTCACTGTGTCCTTTATAACAAACCAGCAATCAAGTAAGTAAACCGTTTCCCTGAGCTCTATGAGCGGTTACAGCAAATTATCTAACCTGAGGGGTCACGAGAACCCCTGACTTGTAGCCAGGTCAGACAGAAGTGCGGGTGGCCCAGGGACCCGATCCTTGTGACTGGCGTCTGAGGAGCGGGCAGTCTTGAGGGACTGAGCCCTAATCTGTGGGGCCCGTGCTAACTCCGGGTGGTTAGTGTCAGGACTGAGTTAATTTGTAGGACACCCAGCAGGTGTCCACAGAGAACTGGCTGTTGGTGGGGAAAAGCCACACACCTGGTGTCAGTGTTGTGAGTAAAGAAACAGTTTTCTTTTAAGCGGTAAGAGTTCTCGAAATGAAAGAGGAAGAAAAGCCACCTGTGAGACACTTCCTAGGGTAGGGAACAAAACGAAGCGCAGCAGAGCGCACAGGAGCCAGACGGATGACGCCCAGGCACAGGAAGGCGGCCTACATCCTCAGCGCTTGCTGCGTGCACAGCTGGGCGCCTGCCCTCTGGCAGGGACACAATGACCGAGCACACGCCCGGGAAGGTGGGGCCCCGGGTGCGAGGCCTGTTGTACCCCCAGCGCCCACCTCTGCCCCGCGGCGTCACCTGTGCTAAGGATCTTGCCCACCATCTTCTGCAGGAAGGACGGGATCTGCCGCTGGACCACGGTGTACCTCTGGTCCCAGTACTTGTCATTGTAATCCTCCTGGATCTTCTCTTTCCGCAGCTCGTGCTCCTCAACCATGAACTCGCTGGAAAAACAGAATGCTCTCGGGTAACGAGTAGATTCTGGAGGAGACATGCAGAAGGGAGGCCATGTGCTCCCTGCACGAGTGCTCCCCTCGTCAGCTGAGAGCACAAGAGGCCAACAGGCTCCATAGGGCTCCACGGAGGCCAAACAGTCTCACCACAGCCAATTCTCACTTGTGACTTAAAATAAACGCCCAACCTCACTTTGGAGCAGGGTTCAGAGAGCACTCGGTCCACAGAGCTGGATGGGAAGTTGATCACCTTTGTGTCCACCCCTTATTCCTGGAATCTAGCGTCTCCTTTTGTCATGAACGTGGCAAGAAGATGACACGCACGTCAGGGGCACGTGTGCCTGTCACCAACGGAGACCAGACGCCTTCACATGATGCTTCGAATCTCCCTGGCGCCTCAGGATTTGGGAGCTGCATTCTTTATTAGGCCCCTCACCACAGATTTTATTATTTTGGTCGTTATAGAGAAATACTATTTCTAGACCACAAATTTATTTTTAAAATACTTTGACAAATATATCTCAACATAATAGAATCATTTATGAGCCGACATATTTCATTTTGTGCATTTAAATACATCACACTGAGGAAGGAGCCCACAGAACTGAGACCGTGAAGGAAGCCCACAAAAGGAGGTGAAAAGCCCCTGATCTGAGGTGATTTTAACGTCTTCCACACAACAGGATAAAGCCGCCGAAGAGCAGCCAGTGGGACGCTGCCTCCCTGGCTGCGCAGCTGCACGCGGACGTCCACTCTCCTTCAGATCTTACCTGTACGGGTCATTAATGATCCCTCTGTAGATCCACTTCTCCAGGATCTCGAAGTAGGGCACGCTGGCGGCCTTGGTGAGGTACAGGCACAGCTCCTGCGCCTGGCTGTCGCCCGTGTAGTTGAAGCTACGGTCGTGGAGGAGGCTCAGGGTCGACCCTCCGACACACTCGCCTTTATCCACTGAGGTGGCTGCACAGAGAAGGCGGCACTCAGTGCCGAGAGGGGCTGCCCACGGCTCTCCTGGCTGTTCTGGCAGACAGACCAGAACCTCCTAGTTCACCTCCAACCTCCTCACAGGCACAGCCACTTCTTTTTTGGGATATACTCAAACTATAAAGTTGTAGTTGCTAACTAAAGTTCACCAATAAGAGCTTCCAGAGTTTTCCTCATGCAAATTAATAACACACGAAGCAACACATGCTTCAGCCTCACACCCTGGTGTCCAAAAGTAAGAAACAAATGACTAGCACCCTGGCCTGAGGTCCCTCCCGCGATACTACCCACATCTCATCTGCACACGCCAGGAACCGTTCCACCACGCAAACAACCTGTGTGCTGCCCAAGTGCCCACAGGCTCTCCTGGCCTGGCTGAGATGCCGGGTGGGCGCATACCGAGGGAGGCCAGGATGTCCACGGTACGCATGGCTGGCTGGATGTAGAACCAGAGCTTCTGCAGTGACAAGAGGCCTTGCCTCTGTAGCTGCTCCAGCTGCGTGACCAGGATCAGGTACTCCTTCACCAGGGTCCTCATGGCGGCCGCCAAGGCGTGGTTCACCTGCCCATATTCAAAGGAAGACTTCTCTTCAATGAACCTACGAGGAGATGAAGCACTGAGCACCCTTGAGAAGGTGAGAGCTACGTTTTCAGGTAAGAGATCAGATGTTCTGAGTCCCATCCACAAAGAGGAAGCAGATGACCCACTCAAGCTCTTCTCCCCAGAGGGAACCTGGGGACAGCGGGCTCCCTGCACTTGTCCCCAGGCCCTTCAAAATCATGCCAGGAGTGAAGCTGGGTCGCAACAAGATGGGGACTTTCCTAAGAAGAGGACTTGAATGATCTTTACAGGCACCAAGTGCGACTCTGGGGTCTGTGTGTATCTGAGACGGCCAGCATCGAGCACTGGGTCCCATCTGGTGCCTACCTGGTCACAGTGGAGTAACTGGCAGCCACTGGGAGGATCCTGTTCACCAGCTCCCTGATGGACAGGTCCAGGTTGGGGTCCACGAGAAAGGTCCGGCTCTGCCTGCCAGCGAGTGGCTGGGCAGTGATGTACCTGCCGTCCACACCCACCAGCACGTAGAGCAGGTCCTCCACGACAGCTGACTCCTGGGAGGCCAGGGGCAGCGTGCCTGTGGACACAGACACCGGCTGGGGGCGACTCGCCTCGCCTCCCCCTTCCCAGTGACCTCCTGACATGATCTACTCAGTACAAGTCACACTCGCACTCATCTCCCTCTGTGTAATTTCCTCAAACATTTATAACATAAAAATTAAGCCGTTCATTTGGCTCCGACTGATCCCACTGGCTTGAGATTCCAAAAGCACAGGAGAGGCGCTGACCGACAGGCAGTGAAGCCCTGGAGCCCTGCGCAAACGAGCACCTCTGCGCTCAGATGGACGCCTGGCCTCGAAAAAGTTCAGAGCTTAAAAAGCACTTCCAACATGAGCCGTCCTCACAGCGTTTATTACAACTTGGTAAGTCTGGGCTGCTCTGGGACAAAAACGAGGTTTTCTTTAAAAACTTTAAAACACTGACCATTTCTACCAAACACACACAGCACGAGGTGGTTGCCTTACGACACCCGACGGTCTCGAGGGCAGTCACGGGCCATCGACCAGGGGCGCCCGCCACACGCCTCACGGCCCAGGCGCTCCCTGCCTCTCAGTTCACAGCACTAGGATGCCCCTCAGGGCCCTCCCCGACACCCGCTGAGGCAGATACCACACTGGGGAGCCATGGGCAGCACCAGGAGAAAGGTGTCTCTGTCCAACTGCCCCTACCCTGGCTTCGCACAGCAGGCCCTATGGGGGCCTGTGGGTCAGGGCAGGACTTTTAAAGAGGAGAATCACTAAACCAACTGGCAGGGGATGGGACAGCCAGTTGAGAAGCCAGAGGACAGAAGGACTCACCAAAGGGACAGGACCCGAGGGGGCAGCCAGTGGCCTCAGCACGTGGAGGGATGGCCTGGCCTGCCACAAGGCTGCGCCCTGCCAAGGCAGAGGCAGGAGGAGAGGGACAAGACAGACCTCAGGGACGGTGGGTACATGCAAGCGTGGGCATCCACCCTGAGGGCCTGCCCTGGCTCCAGGAAGGGACTTGAGAATGGCACAAACGACCACTGAGAGGTGGGAGGGGCACCAGGCAGCCGCTGCACACCATGCTGAGAAGGCAGGTAGGTCCAGAGGGTGAGGTACTGCCAGGTGGAGGTGAAGGGAGGGCCAAGGACAACTGAACTGATGACACAGGGGTCTGAGCGTGGACAGGACACGGGACAGGAAAGGGGTGGACAGGAGACAAGGCCAGAGGGATGCATGGAGGATGCCTGTAGCAGGGGCCTGTGGTGCTGGGCCAACGTGTGACAGAGGGCAGGAGGCAGAGTGGTGACACGGCGGGGCCCACCTCCGTTCTGAGCATTTGCACCACCAAGGCAGTGCTTTCCAGACGAAGATGCTGGCGCGAGGTCACACTGAGGTCCCATGCTGTGGAGCTGACACACGTACCAGGCAGAGTGAAATCATACAGTATTTGTCTTTCTCCATCTGACTTATTTCGCTTAGCACAACGCCCTCAAGGTCCATCCATGTTGTTGCAAATGGCACGGTTTCATCTTTTTTTATAACCAAGTAGTATTCCATCGTATATGTGTACCTCATCTTCTTTATCCATTCATCCACTGATGGGCACTTGGGTTGCTTCCAATTCTTGGCTATTGTAAATAATGCTGCAATGAACACAGGCGTGAAAATATCTTTACGCATTTGTGTTTTCATGTTCTTTGGATAAATTCCCAGCAGTGGAATAACTGGGTCATATGGTATTTCTATTCCTATGTTTTTGAGAAATCTCCATACTGTTTTCCACAGTGGCTGCACCAGTTTGCATTCCCACCAACGGCGCACGAGGGTTCCCTTTTCTCCACATCGTCGCCAACACTTATTTCCTCTTTTTGATAACGGACATTCTAACAGGTGTAAGGTGATATCTCCTCGTGGTTTTGAATTGCATTTCCCTAGTAATTAGTGCTGTTGAACATCTTTTCATGTGCCTGTTGGCCATCTGTATATCTTCTTTCAAAAGATGTCCCTTTGGGGCCGGCCCGGTGGCGCAAGTGGTTAAGTGCGCGCGCTCCGCTGCGGCGGCCCGGGGTTCGCTGGTTCGGATCCCGGGCGCGCACCGACGCACTGCTTGGCAAGCCATGCTGTGGTGGCGTCCCATATAAAGTGGAGGAAGATGGGCACAGATGTTAGCCCAGGGCCGTCTTCCTCAGCAAAAAAAGAGGAGGATTGGCGGATGTTAGCACAGGGCTGATCTCCTCACAAAAAAAAAAAAAAAAAAAAAGATGTCCCTTTATATCCTCTGCCCATTTTTTTTTTTTGAGGAAGATTGGCCCTGAGCTAACATCTGTTGCCAATCTCCCTCTTTTTCTTTTTTCTCCCCAAAGCCCCAGCACATAGTTGTACACCCTAGTTGTAGGTCCTTCTAGCCCTTCTATGTGGGAGGCCGCCTCAGCGCAGCTTGATGAGCGGTGAGGAGGTCCGTGCCCAGGATCCGAACAGGCGAACCCCAGCCTGCAGAAGCAGAACGCACGAATGTAACCACTACACCACCAGGCTGGTCCCTCCTCTGCCCATTTCTTGATTGGGTTTTTTGTTGTTGAGTTGCATGACTTCTTTACATATTTTGGAAATTAACCCTTTGTCAGATATATGATTTGCAAATATTTTCTCCCAATTCACGGGTTGTGTTTTCATTTTTTTTTTCTTTTTTTTTTGCGAGGAAGATCAGCCCTGAACTAACATCCATGCCAATCCTCCTCTTTTTGCTGAGGAAGACTGGCCCTGGGCTAACATCTGTGCCCATCTTCCTCCACTTTATATGGGACGCTGCCACAGCATGGCCTGACAAGCAGTGCATCAGTGTGCGCCTGGGACCCGAACCCCGGTCACCAGCAGCGGAGCGCGTGCACTTAACCGCTACACGATGGTGCTGGGCCCCGTCTTTTCGTCTTGGTCATGGTTTCCTTTGCCTTGCAGAACCTTTTTAGTCTGATGTAGTCGCATTTGTTTATTTTTTCTTTTGTTTCCCTTGCCTGAGGAGACATGGTATTTGAAAAGATACTGCTAAGACCGATGTCGAAGAGCGTACTTCCTGTTTCCTTCTGGGAGTTTTACGGTTTCAGGTCTTACCTTTAGGTCTTTAATCCGTTTTCAGTTCATTTCTGTGTATGGTGCAAGATAACGGTCTACTTTCGTCCTGTGCACGTGGCTGTCCAGTTTTCCCAACATCATTTACTGAAGAGAGTTTCCTTTCCCCCTTATGTGTTCTTGGCTCCTTTGTCGAAGATTAGCTGTCCAGAGATGTGTTCTTATTTCTGGGCTCTCAATTCTGTTCCACCGATCTGTGTGTGTATTTTTCTGCCACTACATGCTGTTTTGATTACTATAGCTTTGTAATATATTTTGAAATCAGGGAGTGTGATGCATCCAGCTTTGTTCTTTCTTCTCAGGATTTCTTTGTCTATTTGGGGTTTTTGTTGTTCCATATAAGTTTCAGGACTCTGTTCCATTTCCGTGAAAAACGTTGTTCGGACTTTGACAGGACTGCATTGAATCTGTAGGCTGCTTTAGGTAATACGGACATTTTAACTATGTTTGCTCTTCCAATCCATGAGCATGGAATATCTTTGCCATATCTTTTTGTGTTCGATTTCTTTCAACAATGTCTTATAGTTTTCAGTGCGCAGGTCTTTTACCTCTTTGGTTAAATTTGTTCCTAGGTATTTAATTTTCTTTGTTGTGATTTTAAGTGTGATTGTATGTCTTTTTCTTTTCTAACTGATTCAAACAACACAAGCGCGACATCACCAGAGTCCACGACTAAAGGAATCAAATCGCCTCACCTGCTCAGGGGAGCCCTGCGGCCAAGGACCCCCAAAGTCTCATCTGCCATATCTGCCTGCCAGAGAGCCCCTGGGGACGCCCTGGCTTCCTGCCTCCAGCACCTGGGGCCTTCACCCCGCACGTGTCCCTGAACGCGACCACAGACCCTGGTGCTCCCAGGAAGCCCTGCTCTGCCCACCCTGCTTGCTGGCCCTTCAGCGCAGCTCCCGGCTCAACTTAGGCTCAATGAGTTTGACTCCCATTAAAACTTTAACAGTTTGGATCACTACTGAAAACGAGCCATGTGCCACATAATGTTTCGGTCAACAACGGGCTGCATACACAACGGTGGTTCCATAAGATAAGCACGACGCAGCCTAGGTGTGTAGAAGGCCGTACCACCTAGGTTTGTGTGAGTACACTCAGTGACGTTCGCACAACGACGCAATCACCTAATGACACATTTCTCAGAATGTACCCTGTCGTTAAGCAACACAGGACTGTACACAAAGTAGATGGTTTTCTACACCTTTTTGTTAACTTGAACACGGTTGTTTGCCCCTCTAACTAGTGCACACGGAGCCACGTGTGCTGCGGGAAAAGAAAGTGCACTGAGGCGTTTCCTCTCAGCTGTGGACCGTGGGCCAGGAGGGCAGGATGTGGCAGGCACTCTATGTCCTTAACTAGTGAGGTCTCGCTTTCAGTCTATGGAGGTACCTGAAGTGAGACGCAGCCCCGGTGTGCACATGCACAGTCCCCAGATGCCCCACAATCCACCTGAACTCGATGCACAAGGGCCTTTGTGGTCGGGACCTTGTTACCACCTCAGCAGACCCGCTGTGATCACAAGCTGCTGTCTGGAAGCGCCCAAGGGTCTGCACCAACAGGTCAGAAAGCCAGCTGCTGGGACGGCGGGAGCATGCAGGACAGTGGCCAGCAGGCACTGCGTGTCGCCACGTGACCAAGGGCAGCAGAGGGCCTGGGTGGCGGCCGGGATGCCCACTGTCTGCTGTGGGGCTTTGGCACGTCACGCATGGTCTGCCCTCCCTGCTGAGGCATCGCCACGCACAGACGTGCCAAGAAATCCCTGGGCGTTAGAAACAAACACATCACATACCTATAGGCGCAGCCGCGTCTGTGCTTAAGCCCGAGCCAGTGAGGAAATCCCCAACCAGCGTGGGTCTCTCATACACCCACGCTGGGAAGACAGGGAGGCAGTGGCCCGAATTTTTTTTGTTCTGCTTGTCTCGAAGCATCTTTCTCGTAAGTTCGAGAGACTGGTGAGGATATTTTTAAAAACAAAAACAGAAAAAAATACTTTTAGTACAAATACTTAAAACTAACACATCCACGGCACTGAACAAATCAATCGCTGAACGTGAGGGGTCAATAAATGTGGGAAGACATGAAACGAATGTCTCCAGGCCTGTCACAATGCAAGGGGCTGGGCACAAGAGGGGACCCAGTCCTTCATCAGGGCCCTGGCCGGTGCGGGGGCCCCCAGTTAAGCAGGAGCACCAGCAAAGGGCTGCACCCAGCCAGAGCAGGCCGATTCTCAGGAACACTTATGCATAGTCTCAATCGCTTTCTCCTGGTGGCTCCAAGTCTAGACATGACCTGCTAGGTGAAGACAAGGCCCCAGCGACAGACAGCTGGAGAAGGGGCACCCCCACCTGAGCCCCTCAGGGATGAGAGACAGATCAAGAAGGCCGCACCGGGAAAGCCCAGCTCCTGGTATGTGAACGGAGTAGTGGTCCTCCTGTAGGGCTGGCCACCAGAGGCTGACCAGGGTGCTGGGCAGCCTGGAAGCACCAACTCAAGGGTTGGTATGAGAGAAGGGAAGGTATAGACTCGGTTTGCTCCTGTCACAGGGGTAGTGGTGTGAGGGCTACGGGAGGTGCTGGACACACCCACTAGCGCCGGCTGCTGTCCTTGTCAGAGCCGCACGGTCACCAAGCACATGCCAAGCTCAGACTCGCACCGGGACACAGCTTTAAGGGGGCTTAAAGGCCACAGAAACAATGCCCTAAGAAAACAGACTTATATCGAGAGACAGGGCACGACATAAAACCAAAAGCAGTAAGTATAGGAGAAAAAAATGATCTAGAGAAAATTACCCTTAAAAATAATCTTAAAAAAACAAATTGTCAAAAATTAATGGAGGGAAGTGGGGATCACGGTTTGCACAAGCTAAGGTAAGACCCACAGAGGTGCCCATGTGGTTAGAGCCTCAGTGCACTGTTTTCCTGCTCCTGGGGCCGCGTTCTTATCCACAGAGCTACGTCCTGACCAGGAGTTAAGCCTCGGCGTCTCCACATGCAGCTCCATCTTTAACAGAGGACGCCGGCGCCCGCACTGCAGGAAGGAGGTACCTGCTGCCACGTGCAGCCCGTGGCCACGCTGCCGAGCTGCTTCCTCAGCTCCTCGAGCTCCTGCATGGAGATCTTGGAGGCCGTGGCGGGGGCGCTGAAGCTGGTGGTGCTGCTGGCAGCAGCAGTGGCTGCGAGCTCAGCTCTTTCTTTGGCATTCTGTTGTAAATACTGCAGAGTCTGGAAACACACAAAACCCTGAGTTACCCTGGGCCACCAGGTTCGTGCACTTCGCCAGGCACAGCCAACCCCACTGCCTTCTTTTCTAACTCCAATACCCACGTGGAGGCGAGAGCAGGAGGTCCCCCTTAGTCCCTGAGCTGCAGTCTGGTCTCCTGATGCTTCCTGTCACAAGGTGCCATGCCCCAAATCACGAGGGAAATCCTACAGCTGCTTTGACAGCCAATTCCCAAACTCCAATCCCAATGGTACGGCCTTTTCTCTACACTCGACCAGTCTCCCTTGCTGCAGGGAGACCACGTCCCTTTATGTGTCTCCAACACTGTGGTCAACGCAGGCCTGGTCACACCCTTCACCCCCGAACAGACTCTGGGCTTTGTAGAGCGAGAGAAAGGACCCAACATACCCCTGGAGGCTCCCAGGTGCCACGGCTCTCTCGGCCTCAACACTTTTCTTAGTACCACAGGGAACACAGGCTCAATTTAAAACTGACAAAAACATGGCATGAGACGATGAGAAATAAAGTCTCCCACCTCGGAGATAACGCCTCTTAATACTTCTCGTGCTTATCACCATCAGGAGCCATTTCACTCTGACGCACCATAACCCTACTCCTGCGTCACCTACTCGTAAGAAGCAGGGAGAGGATGAACGAGTGAAGTGCTACAGGCCAGCAGAAACGGGGCCCAATGGCGTGAGGCGGCACCAGAGACCCCAGACTTGTGAGGTGTTAGCTCAACTGAGCAAATCACAGGTGCTTAAAACACTCGCCAGAACCACTCTGCAGCACACACTCCATCAGGAGCACGAGTTATGTTCATCTTTCAGAGACAGAGAATGTTCTTTGCCGACACCCATGAGGAGCAGCGTGCACGAGCCCAGGTGGACGGTACCTCTTTGTCTTCTGTGAGCTTTGACAACAGGTACACCAGTGGGTCGAGGGTCCTTGTGTTTTTAGATTTCAGTTCATCATATTTCTTTAGAAAGTCTTCTGGAGTACGAGAAAATTCTGCTATTTTAACCTCAAAAGGATAAACACAAGTGATTTAGTAACAATAATTAAGCACTTTAAAAAACCTTCCAGAAAATTAAACACAAAACCAAAAATAAAATGAAATTAGGTAGGCTAAATAATCATATATCTCTGAAATAAAACTAAGAAAATGCATGAGAACATTTTGTTAGACCCGCCCACGTTTCCCTCTGTAGTTTCTCTCATGCTATGCTTCCTAAGCTGTAGATCCTATCACTTGTGTTTTTCCCAGTAGTTTGTGTGATCATTTACAGACTTAACTCTATTCTCTCTGGAATTTATTATTACGTACGGGCTCAGGGTTATGTGTTTTCCCACTGAGTGACAATGCTCCCCTTGCTGTAAGTTAAATATAACTGTGTGTTCCTCAACTCTCTCTTCTGCTCAGTGCATTTTTCTAATTCCTTGTTCCATTATTAAGCTGTTTAAATAACTGAAGCTTCATATTTTTTCTTTTTTTTCTTTTTTATGAGAAAGATCAGCCCTGAGCTAACATCTATGCTAATCCTCCTCTTTCTGCTGAGAAAGACCGGACCTGAGCTAACATCTATTGCCAATCCTCCTCTTTTTCCCCTTTTTCTCCCCAAAGCCCCAGTAGATAGTTGTTATGTCATAGCTGCACATCGTTCTAGTTGCTGTATGAGGGACGCCTCTTCAGCATGGCCGGACAAGCAGTGCATCGGTGCGCACCCGGGATCCGAACCCGGGCCACCAGTAATGGAGCGCATGCACTTAACCACTAAGCCATGGGGCCGGCCCCATTCATATGTTTTCAAAACTAGATTTCAAAATTATCTTTTACTGAAAACTTATAATTTTGAGTTACATATTATTGAATAAAGAAAAAAAATTCACTTTAAAGGGATTTCAATGCGGTTAGTACACATCCAGAGGAATATCTGGAGTCTCCTCCTCATGGGACACAGGGAGGGAGCGGTTAAGAGGCTGGGTTCTGAGGTCAGGCTGACCATCCTGCACTCTCCCCGAGCCTCCATTCCTCATCTGTATGATGAGGCGAGCGACAGGAACTGCTGTGAGGAGTCCACAGAAGCACTGAGTGAGCGGAACACGTGTTCCAGGAAAAGCATCAACAAGTGTGTCTGCCATCACCATTGGCACTGCTGTGGCTACCCAGTCAGGAAGGTGAACTCCGCAGAGACCCACAGCAGGGACGGGGCCCACCTTGCCCGGTGCACAGACCCACACCAGGGACAGGGTCCACCGTGCCCTGGGCACAGCACAGCACCAGGGACAGGGCCCACCTTGCCCGGTGCACAGACCTGCACCAGGGACGGGGCCCCCCTTGCCCGGTGCACAGAGTCGCACCAGGGACGGGGCCCACCTTGCCCCAGGCACAAAACTGCACCAGGGATGGGCACACACCTTGCCCGGGCACAGAGCTGCACCAGGGATGGGCACTCACCTTGCCAGGTGCACAGACCCACACCAGGGACGGGGCCCACCTTGCTCAGGGCACAGAGCTGCACCAGAGATGGGCACTGATGTTGCCCAGGCACAGAGTTGCACCAGAGACAGGGCACTCACCTTGCCCGGTGCACAGACCCACACTAGGGATGGGGCCCACCTTGCCCTGGGCACAGAGCTGCACCAGGGACCGGCACTCACCTTGCCCAGGCACAGAGCTTCACCAGGGACAGGGCCCACCTCGCCTTGGGCACAGAGCTGCACCAGGGACGGGCACTCACCTTGCCTGGGCACAGAGCTGTACCAGAGATAGGGCCCACCTAGCCCTGGGCACAGAGCTGCACCAGGGACGGGCAGTCACCTTGCCTGGGCACAGAGCTGCACCAGGGACTGGCACTCACCTTGCCCAGGCACAGAGCTTCACCAGGGACAGGGCCCACCTCGCCTTGGGCACAGAGTTGCACCAGGGACGGGCACTCACCTTGCCCGGGCACAGAGCTGCACCAGAGATAGGGCCCACCTTGCCCGGGCACAGAGCTGCACCAGGGACAGACACTCACCTTGGCACTGTGTGCAGACACGGTGGTTGTAACATACGGGGTTCTGTTCTTCTGCAGCAGGTCGATGTAGACCTCGGCCCCATCCCCTCCGTGGACACGCAGCAAGCTGAGCAGCTCATTGACATCGTGGTGAATCCGAAATTCACTCATGGTTTTGGCTCTGAGACAACATCACAATACGTTCTTCTAAAGGTAAAAGAAAAGTCATTTATAAAAACAAAAGCCTATAATGAAAAAAAGTTTAAAGCCATTGAATTTGGCCAACGTCAGGTCTTAGAGAAGCCAAATCATCACGCGGCCCAGCCCCCAGGCTCCCCGCTCGCAGACACTGCCACTACAGCCCCTTGCCAACTGTCTACCACCTGGGGCTTATTCCTGGCGTGTGAATCCTCTGTCCAAGAGGCATTCACTGGTGTGGTCTGTCATTTCTTGCTGGGAGCTCATCTTCAGGGAGCATGCTCCCTTTGGGAATCCACAGCTTTCAGTCTCCCTAGCTGCAGCCAGCCTCCAGGCTCACTCCTCAGCTCGGGGAGCCGGCACGTGCAGACCGTGTGGTCGTGGCCCCACAGGCCCAAGCCCTCCTTCCTCCTGGGTGACTCCAACCACACACGGCCCTGGGCCAGCAGGAAGCTGCCCCTCGTCAGCTGGCAACAGAGCTTTCCAGTTCTGGCTGTGCAGACACAGTGGTTCTGGCCCTTCAAGGGTCCTGAATCTACGCAAGGAGCTCTGTGCAGGCCTAAGCCATTGCCCCCCGTCCTGGCATGAATACTAAAACTCCAGCTCCCACCTGTGAGGCCCACACCTGGTTCTGAAACCCTATGCTGTCCAGCTGCACCTCCATTCACACCACCAGTTCTGCGTTTCTCTGCACTCTGGTGCCTAGGACGTTTCCTTTTCTTGCCCAAACCTGGCCGTATACCAAGATGCTTTCAGTAAGATTATTATACTTTTCCTACGCATTTGAGCTGGGTGGCACTCCACTTCAGCTCAGTCTGCCCTGCTGACCAGAGGTCCTAGGGTCTCACCATTAGACACACGACCCTCTGGGGTCAAAACCGTAACTGAGGGGCCGGCCCGGTGGCACAAGTGGTTAAGTGTGCGTGCTCTGCTGCGGCGGCCCGGCGTTCGCTGGTTAGGATCCCGGGCGCACACCAACGCACCACTTGGCAAGCCATGCTGTGGCGGCATCCCATATAAAGTGGAGAAAGATGGGCACGGATGTTAGCCCAGGGCCAGTCTTCCTCAGCAAAAAGAGGGGAGGATTGGCAGATGTTAGCACAGGGCTGATCTTCCTCACAAAAAAATAAACAACCCGCAACTGAGATCCCACCAGGCAGACAGTAGCGGATTGCATGTGTTCTCCCACTGATAACCAGTTAGCCATTATCATCACAAGTAGTGACAAAAGGGAAGAAGAGAGATGCACACAGGCAACCCGTCATACCTTCAAAAAACGAACACCAGCACACTTCACGTAAACATCTCAATATACCTACGCAAGGGTTCTTGATCTAGGGTCCACAAACAACAAAACAACTCTTGGAAATCATAAGTAAAATCATTTTTGTCTGTGAATTTTCTGAAGAGAGGGTCTTTCAACACACGCTCAAAGGCTCTGTGACCCAAAAAACGGTTAAGAACCACTGTGCCAACAGCTCAGTGAAGATGAGCCATGAGTTAAAGAAAACATCAAGTGGAGAAGACTCAGCACACACCCTCACAACATGCTAACAATGCACATTAATTTGTAATTCTACACTGAGAAAGTGAGAGTCTAACCTCGTGTGATGGAGAACTAGTTCTCCACACATAAACGTCACAGTGTCACAGTATACAAACAGCAAATACTGGCCAGATGCAGGGTGTCTCCAAAGAGGAAAGCACAGCAGTAAGGACCAGCTGGTGTATTAAGTCACTAGCGCACGTCCTTTGTGAATCAGGAAGTGTTCCTAGTAACTACAGTTACAGGCGCAGGCGCAGCAGGGCACAGGCTGTGGAACCCCAGCCAGACTGAACCCTGACTTGGCCACTTCCAGGCCAGAGGGCCCTGGGCAAGGAGCTTGCCCTCTCAAAGCTTCCTCTGAAAGGGGTGAGTAGTAAACGCCAGCCACAGAGCTGCTGTGGAGACTGATCGTCTTATAAAGCACCACAGGGCCTGCGTGTACTGAGTTCTTGCACTAGTGTTATTAGAAAAGCAGGGGGGCCGGCCCAGTGGCGCAAGTGGTTAAGTGCATGCGCCCCGCTGCGGCGGCCCGGGATTTGCCGGTTCAATCCCAGGCGTGCACCGACGCACCGCTTGTTAAGCTATGCTGTGGTGGTGTCCCATATATAGTAGAGGAACGTGGGCACGGATGTTAGCCCAGGGCCGGTCTTCCTCAGCAAAAAAAAAAGGAGGATTGGCAGATGTTAGCTCAGGGCTGGTCCTCCACACACACACACACACACACACAGAAGAAAAGCAGGAACAAGTGCTGCTGATATTACCACGTAAGGCCAACCACTGCAAGTGTTCATTGTTGCCTGACAAATGGTTGGTTTTACAAAAGGAAAACTGGATCTGAATCACTGAGAGCATCGGAAACCATCGGTTATCCTACTAGTCACCCAGGGCCCTGAATGAGGCCCTACAAACCACAGAAAACAGAAAAGAAAACACGAACTCTCCCACTGCCAGCCTCTTCATACCTAAGAGCAACCAGATTGACCCACATTCCAAAAGGCTTCCCAAGGACTGCGGGTTGTCCTGTAAGGGCTGGCCTGAGGACCACCTTGGCAAGGATGCTGCTGCGTTTACCATGGACACAAAACACCCCTCCACCAGATACAAGCAGGCGGAGAGAGCTCTTCTGAAGAGAGATCACCTAAGTGAATATTTACTTAAAAACTATCTTCATGAATCTTCACAGCTGTAGTAGAAATAAAACCACAGATACCCTACATCACAAGTATTAATCCTCGGAGGAGTCCACTGTTCTCTGTGGATTTGGGGAACAATTCCTGCAAGATTTCTGGCTCTCCCCTGCAGGGAGCACCTCCCCTCAGGGGACCTCTGGAAACGCATAGGGGTAACTTTTGGTTGTCACAGTGACTGGAAGGGTGCTCTTGGTATTTAGTGGGCAGGAGCCCAGGGAAGTTAAACAGCAACAGACACGTCCCACCAAAAATGCCAACAGCGTCCCCACTAAAAACAGCTGTGAGGAACATTTAATTGCAGCGGCTCACGTCATCTTTTTGATGCTCTTGACTTGTGTTAGTCACCACAAGTGGACAAACGCAGACTTCGGCGACTGAGCAGAACCCATCTCCTCCTCACACGAGTGTGAGGCAGCGCAGGGGCAAGGAGGCAGCGACACCTATGCACGAGTCAGGCACACACACCTGTGAACATCTGACTGAAACACAGAGGGAGGTGACAAGCACTCTTTGTTGAAGAGCTCAAAGCTAATTGGACAAACTGGCTTGAAGAACATTACTTTAAAACGTGTGAAAAATGTCAGGAGCCTAATGCTGTCTCAGAGACAGAAAATCAATGCATAAGAGATAAAAAACAGTCTGCGTCTGTCTAGAGCTCTTCTTAGGCACGAAAATGACCGGTGGAGGACGTAGCCACAAACCTTTACTTCCAAAATGAAGTGAGTGCAAGTTTCTAATTATATTTTTAAATTACATTTTTAACTTCTTAGAGAAACAGCAACCCATTTCCCTTGCCACTGCACGTACGCGCGCCCGGCGTCTGCTCGGTGCGGAACCACTCCGGAACCACTCGGCGTGAGGAGCGGCGAGCGGGCCTGCGGCCGTCCTCCGCAATAGGGCTCAAGCATCCTTGCGTCCCTTCCGCGTCACCCGTCACCATTTAACTCGGTAACTGTGTCACCAGTTAGACGTCCGCCTCTCCTGCCGGGCCGCAGGCTCCGGAGCGGCGGGACCACCTTACTTCTACACGCCGCGCCCTGTCCGCGCCGGGAGAGGATGGGGTGGGATGGGGGACAATGGGCAGGCGGGAAACAGCAGGGCCTGGCGGGCCCTGGACCGGGGCAGTGGGAAGCCACCGAAGGATTACGAGAAAACTCAGGTCTCCACAGAGACCTGGCCCAGAGGCGGCCGCAGCCCGTCAGCCGGGAAAGAAGGGGTGCGGACGGGGGACGGCACCGGGGACGGGGGGAGGGCGCCAGCCGCGCACAGGGGCGGACGGCGAACAGAGACCCGCTCCGGATCCGAGCCGGCGGCGCCACAGCGCGGAGGCCAGCTCTCCCCGCGCCGGCCGGGTGTCCGTTGGGCAGAGGGCTCATGCCACCCCCCGGCCCCTACCCTCCAGACTCGGGCCCCGCCACCCCTAGTCCCCCGGGCTCAGGCCCCGCCGACCCCGGCTCCGACTCACCGCAGGACCCGCGCGCGCACAGCCCGCACCCCCGGCGGAAGTGGCGCGACGTCACGTCCGGCCCCGCCCCGGCCGGCCCACAGACCTTGGCTGACAGGCTGTGGCGCCGCCGCCGCGCAGGGCGATGCAGCTGCCGCCCGCGCTGCACGCCCGCCTCGCCGGGGCACCTGGGGCGGCCGAGCCGCTGCCCGTGGAGCGGAACCCCAAGGCCGGGGCCGCGCCCTTCCGCTTCATGGCGCGCCTGGTGCGCTTCCCGCGCGAGCATGAGTTCTTCGAGGTGCGTGAGCCGACGCCGAGGGCCGTTGTCCGGCGGCGGGGCCTGAGGCTCGGGGGTGGGGCCTGGGTCGTGGGCGGAGTCTGGTGGGGCGGAGCCTCCGGCTGAGGGGCGGGGCCTGGGCCGTGGGGCGGGCCCTGAGGCTCGGGGGCTGGGCTTGGTGGAGTGGGGCTTCTGGCTGAGGGGCGAGGCCTTGGTCGTGGGCGGAGCCTGGTGGAGCGGCGCCTTCGGGTGAGGGGCGGGGCCTGGGTGGGGGGTGGGGCCTGGTGGAGCGGGGCCTCTCGCTGAGGGGCGGGGCTGCGGCTGGGCGGGGCTGCGAGGTGCCGGTTCAGCCCACCGCGCGTGTTCTGCAGGAAGGGGACGTCCAGCGGCACCTGTATCTCCAGGACGTGCTCACGCAGGTTGCCGGGGAGCCCGAGAAGCCCAGGTGAGCGAGGCCCTTCTCGCCCCCCAACCCCACCCTGCCTCCTTCCCGTGGCTCCCATCCTCCCCTTCCCGACCACCCCTCGGGGTGGAGGTGGGGAGGACCTGCCGCCGCGCCCCCTGCCTGCACGGTCCGCGCCGGAGAGGCTGGCCTCCCCACCGTCTAGCTGGTGTGAAAATATAGTTCTTAACAGGGTAGGATTTGGGATTGTAAAAGAAACACTCAAAGCTCTATCGCGTCACTTAAAATGAAGTTGTCGACAGGGAGCTTGATGTTCTTTGTCAGCAGCGGAATGGTGTCCCCACGAGGCCGTTTCTTTTGCCAGGGTGCCCGAGTTCACCTGTCAGGTGGCGGGCTGCTGCCAGGTGTTTGACGCCCTGGAGGACTATGAGCACCACTACCACACTCTGCACAGAAATGTCTGCTCCTTTTGCAAACGGGCTTTCCCCTCGGGACACTTGCTGGATGTCCACATCCTGGAGTGGCATGACTCGTTGTTCCAGATCCTGTCCGAGAGGCAGGACATGGTGGGTGACTGAGGCCAAGTGCAGTTGCTGAGGGGGTTTGTTTCCGAGCTGTCTGCCCAGCGGGTACCAGGGCCGACGGGGTCAGAGCACTGCTCCCAGCTCTCAGGGCCAGGGGCAAGGCCAGGGGGCACCTTCCCCGCCCTTGGCCCCGGCCCTGTGCCCATCAAGGTGTGAGGGGAGGGCTGGGGGGTCAGGATGGAGGTGACGCCGTTTCTGCTTCAGTATCAGTGCTTGGTGGAAGGCTGCACAGAGAAGTTCAAGACCAGCAAAGACAGGAAGGATCACTTGGTGAACCGTCACCTCTACCCTGCGGACTTTCGGTTTGATAAACCAAAGAAAACCAGAAGGTACGTGAGGCGACACACGTGTCCACGCTGCAGGATGCGGCCACCTCTTGAATTTAGACAAGGTTTTGAGTGTGTAGACTTTAAGGATGAAGATGGTGTAGTCCAGCATCTGTGTCGCTTAACCTCTTATTTAGCTGCAGGTGACGGAAACCCTGACAAGTCGAGAGTCACCAAAAGAGGTAGACAAGTGGGGGTGGTTTTGTGTGGGGTCCCCTGCTAGAGGACAGGAAGGGGAGCACCGGGCCTCCCGGGCTCTGTGCTGGGGTGACTGGGGGACCCTCGAGTGTCTGCCGGGGCGTGTAGGAACACCACCACGTTGCTCTGCACTCCCACCTCACGAGGCTGCACCTCTCCTCCGCCCTGTGCATCAGCTCTGCTTGCGTGGAGCAGCTGTGGGCCTTGGGATTTGTCCCAGGCCCTGAGCCCTCCCCTGACATGGGCCTTCTCGTGTTTCCTTTGTCCCATCAGTGCACATTTATGAACTCAACAACAAAGCGGTTTGTTACACGTCACTGTGCAGAGCGCACTGTGGGGAAATGCCTGTGGGGATAGTTCTTAAATCTGTGTTACGTTTCTTGCCTGTTCCTGTAACTGATTCTTTCAGGTAAACTTTCATAACCATCTGAAAGTTGCATTGATTGAAGTCTACTCAGACTAATTTGTTTTCCTCTAACAGAACTTTGCTGTTTAAAATAATTCTGAGAACCCACTGCGACGTGGGAGATTTTTGTAAGGCCTTGAGTATACGGTAACTCTCTCCTTTCCAAGGGATCATTTTAAGAAGAAAACCCTGCAATGGTTGATGGAAACATTGGTGTTAGGGAGGAGACTCTCAATATCGTACAGTCAACTTTAGTAAATTTCTCACTGATTGTCTGGAAAAGACACTAGGCACCCTTGGTAGGCATTTACCACGTGGCACCATAAAAATACTATTTTCAAAAGACAAAGTATAGGGGCCGGCCCCGTGGTGTAGTGGTTAAGTTCCGTGCACTCTGCTTCAACGGCCCGAGTTCACAGTTTCGGATCCCAGCCGTGGACCTACACCACTCATCAGCCATGCTGTGGTGGCAACCCACATACAGGATCGAGGAAAGATTGGCACAGATGTTAGCTCAGGGCCACTCTTCCTCAGCAAAAACAAAAAAAGAAAGACAGTGTAATTGTTATACCTAAATTTATAAAATGTGGTATTTATCATATAAGCATTCACTTATGACCTTCTGTAATTCTTCTCCTGGAAGCCTGGAAACTGCACTATGCCATCATTGTTTTAAAATACCTTTGCCAGAAAAAATAACATCTCCCTCACGAGTTCATTTCTAGGGGAAAACTGGGGCTGCAGGAGTAGACGCTCACCCCACTGTTCTCCACAGCCTAGCCACACCCCAGGTCACCGTGCAAGTGTCGGCAGAAGCCCTGGGGGCTGACTGGGAGCAGTCAGAAGGGGACGCCATGGAAGGCTGCTCAGAACCCGCGAGTGAGAGGCGCACGTGTGGCCACAGGTCAGTACCTGGCCTCTTTCTGGAGCAGGTTCTGCACTTGTGTCTTACGGGGAGAATCGCGGGGTTGAGCCTGGGCCGGCACCGTTACTGAGAGAAGCTGGCGCCGGGTCGGAGTGTGCGCTTCAGCAGGAATTAAAGCGTGACTCTCCCGTCTCCGAGTAACTTAGTTTCTCTCGTGCACTCTGTGTTTGGAACCCTTGCAGCACAGAGACGCAGAGCACCCCCCTCCTTGTCATCGTGGCCTAAACTGGGATAGAAAGAACCTTGGTTGTAATTGCATAAGTTACAACCTGTGAGTCTGTCTTTCTAGCATGAACTGTGCTTTTATTGGGTTAAAGTTGATTTGAAATCCGATTTTGGGAAAAATGGAAAAAAATCGCCAACGAATCCAAGTTGACAAGAAGATAGACTCATGTCCCTCAGTTGCCTTTGAGCAGCTGCCCGGACTTTGGCCTGCGAGTGAGTCCCGGGTGCCAGTGGGTGGTTAGGTTTCACCCGATTGGGGGGTAACAGGAAGTTGGAGCCCTGGAGAGTTTGGCAGGAGCCAGCCTTCCTGGCCAAGTTCTCAGCAGCAAGCGTGTGTTGGTGGCTGGGAGGGTCTCCCATAGGAGGTGGGTCTGAGGCAGGCTGGCCAGCTGCAGTCAGGGAGCTGCCCTGGGCTGCACGAAGGGAGAGCCGACGTCCTGAGTGCTCCCCAGGGTGAGAGGGAGTGTCCTGGAACGAGAGGAACACACCCGAGACCGGTTATGAATTGGGTCATTTGTTGGTGAAAGGTGTAACAGTTTAGTGTGAAGGTTGTTTTCCATTTCAGAATACCTCCTACCATCTGTTTTGGTCAAGGTGTATCACGAGGATTTAAAAGCACCAAGAAAAGAAATAAACACCAGTGACGACTGAGATGGAGAGAAAGAATCACAGGCCTGCGAGCAGACCCTGAGGCAGGACCCTTGCCTTTTGCAGGACATGGTGTCAGTGGTGGGCTTTTCTTTCGCCTGCTGGTGTGGCCCCTAGGACCCAGGCCTTTGCCACCCTCAATGTCTGGGTCCCTGGGCTAATGATGGAATGATGTCAGTAGCCATCATCAGAAGCAGTGAGAGTCCCACAGGTTCCGGAAATGAGCCCGACAGGTGCTCCAATGAGTGAGATGTGGAGACTGGCCCACCTCCCTCTGCAGGGCCATCCTGAGAATGTCCTTTTTAAACACAAAAAGTAAATGTATTTCATCAAGGGTCTCGGTCATCCTTCCTGTACTGTTGAACTAGACAGAGAAACAAGAGTAATCCCCCGTGAGTGCCTTGTTTTTAACATTCGGTTTTCAGAAAGACTGATGAAGTCCTAGAGCCTCGGGAGGACTGGGCAGGACGTCTCGCTCATGCGAGTCGTCGATGGTTCACAGCTCCGAGAGAGATGCCCGGGTCAGAGATGCCTGACATGGAAACCAGAGAAGACTCCCAGGGGCCTGGGGCAGGGTGGTCAGTGCTGGGAAAGAGGAGGGCCAGCCGGGCGGCGTCCCCGAGGAGGGACAGCGACGAAAGACGGTGATGGGTGGAGGAAAGGGCCTCGCAGCGAGGGAGGGGCTGCGCAGACCCCGAGTGCCTGCCTGGTGTCTTCCGGCGGGAACAGAGCAGAGTCATGCAGTTCTCCTCGATGACCAGTGATGGTAACATGGCTAGAGAGGGCACGCCAGCAGGGACCCACAGAGCCACAGTGGGGAAAAGCAGCCGGGGCGGGGGCGTGGAGCACAGATCTATGCCACCGGAGCCACGTGTCGACAGAGAAACAGCTGCATCAGCTCTGTTTGGATAAAATCAGGGCTAGGCCTGGCACAGCCTACCCCCAGAGGCCTCGTCCCCTCCAGCAGGCAGCTGGGGTGCAGCTGCGCTGGCCATGCAGCCTGAGGGCTCCGGCTCGGCCAGCAGCAGGAAGATGGGCCTCCCCCTCCCCATCTCACTTCCAACCTGCTCCTGTTCTGGGCTCTGGGTTTGGCTGGAGGCAGCTGGTGGTCATCTGAGACCCAAGCTCTCCAGAGACCTGGAGCAGAGGGGGTTTCCAGGATGGCGTCACATCATACCAGCGGCTCCACGCACAAAATTCTAAAGGTGGGTTACTGGGTCACAAGGGAAAGTAAAACCTTAAGTACAGTCTGTCCTAGTATGTTGGTGAAGAGAGGCCTAATGTTCCCTTCTGGGTGGGCAGTGAGCAGCTTGGCTGAGGGGCTACTGCAGGGCTGCCCAGGGGCCTGTCTTGGGTTCTTGAAAAAAAAAAGAAAAATGCTGATGTGCAAAAATGCTGCTCCTTCTGTCCCTCTCCCTTCGGAGACCTCATTCCTTCTGACTGCTGTGCGTCCTCTGTACGCCACCCGGCATGAGCATGTGGGCCTTTGCATAACAGCACGTTCTGCTAAGATTCTCTCGTCCACAGCATCAGCCGCCACGTAGGAGTGTGTTTTATAGTCTTTGGGGACTGTAGTCCTGGGTTCCAATCCTAGCTTCATCCCTACCTAGAAAGCTACTTGTTTAATCTGTCTTGGTTTTTCTTCTAAAAAACAGGGAATATAAAACTTCAGTGTGAGGAATGTTATTGAAGGGAAAAAACAAAAAAACGACCACCAGCATCATTAATTCTGAGGAGACGCTTCTATTTCTGCGGCAAGACCCGGCCTGCTTTCCGTCACGTGTCAGGAAGGCTCCGAGGCGGAAGCGCCTGCAGGAGGAGGAGCTCGGCTGCAGAGCTCGGAGTCCCGCTTCAGGGCCGCTGTCCACACCAGCAGCGTCACGTCACTCAGTTGCGTTGGCCTGTTTCTGGTGGGAGCGGGATCTCGTGCTCGGGTGTACATGCCACAGTCAGCATTCTGTTGTCTGGGGGACCAGGGCGGCCGGGCGAGCCTGCTTTTCCAGCTGGGGTGAGAGGCGCTCACGCTCGTGAGGAGCCGGCACGCCGTCGTGTCCGCTTCGCGCCACGAAACGCCTGGTCCCGCCAGCCGAGTGCAGGCCCATCGCAAGGGGAGTGCTGCTCCAGCGCGGGGTCCGAAGTCCGCGTGGGGGGTGTCCTCCCCGCCCCTCGGGTCCCCCCGGCTGCCGCGTTCTCCCCTGGATGCAGTGAGCTTCTTTTCTCACTCCGTCATCTGGAAAGCTGGGCACCCTCTAGTTATTATTTTAGCAGTTATCCCCCCAATTTTGGTATAAATACGTAGCTGGTTCGGGTCTAAGAGTAGTCAGCATCTCTTCCCTTCCACCAAACAGTGCAGAGACCATGTACGCGCGAGCCCCGGCTCACGCATGCGCGCTGTCAGCATCGTGCCTGGCTGTCAGCATCGTGCCTGGCAGTCAGGCTTCCGCGTGTGATCTCGCGAGACGTCGTCGCTGTGGTCCCGGACGGTCAGGGTCGCAAATCCTCCCTCAGCGAGCGCTCTCTTTGCGGGGCGTTTCTTCCGGCCTCTCGGACTCTGTCTGTGGGAATACTTTCCCTTTGCCTGGCGAGGACCTGTATCATTCCTTTGGTGAGAGGCAGGAGTAACAGATGTGCTCAGTTCTGTTTTTGTTATGAATACAGTATCGGTTGGCAATTGTTCCTGAAGCGTGTTGAACACGTTGTTCCACTGCCTTCCTGTGTCCTTGTCGCTGCTGGGAAGCCAGAGGTCAGCCACTCGCTGTTCCTTAGAAGACACTGGGCCAGTTCTAACTCTGGGGGTCTGTGGTCGTGCACAAGGTGTGAAGACTCTCAGCTGGTTCTGAGTCTGGTGGTCTGTGGTCGCACTCAAGGTGTGAAGACACTCTGTTGGTTCTCTGACTCTGTGGGTCTGTGGTTGTGCTCAGAGGTGTGAAGACAATTGGTCGGTTCTGACCCTGGTGGTCTGTGGTCGCACTCAGAGGTGTGAAGATACTCGGCTGGTTCCGACTCTGGTGGTCTGTGGTCGCGCTCAAGGTGTGAAGACACTTGGGTTCTCTGACTCTGTCGGTCTGTGGTCGTGCTCTAGGTGTGAAGACACTCAGTCGGTTCTTACTCTGGGGTCTGTGGTTGCACTCAAGGTGTGAAGACACTCAGTCGGTTCTGACTCTTGTGGTCTGTGGTCATGCTCAAGGTGCGAAGACAGTCAGTTGGTTCCCTGACTTTGTGGATCTGTGGTCACGCTGAAGGTGTGAAGACAGTCAGTTGGTTATGACTCTGGTGGTCTGTGGTCATGCACAGAGGTGTGAAGACACTTGGTCAGTTCTCTGACTCTGTGGTCACGCTCAAGGTGTGAAGACACTCAGTCGGTTCTGACCCTGGTGGTCTGTGGTCACGCTCAGAGGTGTGAAGACACTCGGTCGGTTCTGACTCTGGGGGTCTGTGGTCACGCTCAAGGGGTGAAGACACTTGGTCAGTTCTGACTCTGGGGGCCTGTGGTCGTGCTCAGGGGTGTGAAGACACTTGGTCGGTTCTGACTCTGGTGGTCTGTGGTCGCGCTCAGGGGTGTGAAGACACTTGGTCGGTTCTGACTCTGGTGGTCTGTGGTCGCGCTCAGG